TTAAAATGTATGTTAAATACCCGTGCAAAGCTGGGGCGGGCGGTTAGCACATATACAGGGTGACTTTTCTAAAGGTGCCCAAATTCAAATAGAAGGTTCAGACTCGGTAGTATGGTCGTTTATTGAATGAAATAAAAACAATTTTTTTCCAAAAAATAATAGCATTTCTATTCCCTAAAAACAGAACTTATTGACAATGCGGTAGTCATTCATAAATGCGTCGTATGCTTTTGAAATGAAATTGTGTGCATGTTAGTTATGAATGATCGCGCGTAAAATAAATGATTTGCACATAAATCACACACATTTTGAGATAAGTTCAAATGAATGTAATTAATTAATTAGGTACGAGTGATTTTAAATTTGTATCATTTTTATATAACATTATTTATCTAGAAATGAAACTAATTTTACGGATTTATCGCGTTTATTTTTAATTTTAATTCCCGACGTTTCGAACCCTTTACAGCGTTCATGGTCACGGGACAGACTGAGGTGTTAGACGTCTGATTGTCATAGTTAACCCGGGCTACCGTCAGTTTTTGAATTATTAATTTTGTGTCCGATCTATGCAGAGGGAGCTAATGTCAAATTACAATAGATTGAACAAGTCTGCAGTTTGTGAGCACATTTTGAATAGGCCCAACCACTACATCAGGTTTGACAAACCACAGATCCTTGCAAAAGAACACCGATTCCTCCCAAGGATGATTCGCGAGGCTATTGAAATTAAAAAACACCCTAATTTCAATAGAGAAGAAGGTTGGGTACTACCATCAGCTTGGGATCCTGTCATCAATAAAATTAAATCTAGGCCCAAACGAACCACTACTGCAAGACAAGATACAATTAGCTCCCTCAGCATAGATCGGACACAAAATTAATAATTCAAAAACTGACGGTAGCCCGGGTTAACTATGACAATCAGACGTCTAACACCTCAGTCTGTCCCGTGACCATGAACGCTGTAAAGGGTTCGAAACGTCGGGAATTAAAATTAAAAATAAACGCGATAAATCCGTAAAATTAGTTTCATTTATAATGTGTAATCGCGTAAATACAAGAAATTATTATTTATCTAGAATTTAATTTTAAAAAAATGGATACACTTAGAAAAACCTTAAAAAAAGATATAGTATTGTTTTTAGAGATATGACATGTCTCCTCTGATAGAGAGAGAGATTTGACATTTTGCCTCTTATTAGGATTGTATCATAGATTAATTATACGCTCATGAGAAAAACGACAACTCCATTCATTTTAAATTTGAAAACGCCTCACTTGTGCCATCAACAGTAATAAATCAAAACATAATACTATACTCACTAGAACTTTTTCATGTAGGTATTTGACTTTAAAGAGTTATCACATTAGTTCAAATTGCTACTTTCCTAATAGTAGGGGCTAAATGTGTTTGTGTGTGTGTTGGGCCCACTATTGGGCACACATGCTAAATGTGTATTTTCTCCCACTCTGAAGACCTAAGGAATTGTGAAGATTACATATTAAAAAGGAAAAAGGTTATATGATGTATATCTTTTCAGTGGTGGGGGGAGCGTGCATGAAATTTCAAAAATGTAAAAAAGTAGTCAGAAAAAAATTCTCGAGCACGTCAGAGTTGGATAGTGTATACGACCTACGAACTTCTGACCACACAGAGAAATTAATCTGCTAGATTGTTAGTGGGAGGTGGTCGTACAAAGAGGTGGAAATTGGAAAAAAAAATTTTTACGCGATCTTGTCAGAAATTTAAGAGAGATGTTAAGTGAACCCTAAAAATGTCCTATTATAAAGACTGATGATGAACGTGACTGAAATTCATAGCCATTTTTTCAAAATGCAAAAAAATCGTGACATTGAAATACTCGCGCGTATCAGATTTTTATACAGACGGTTTAGCTTGATGCACTCCTTATACCGACTCATTATATATTCTGACAATTTTACAGAAAATAGACTAGCAAGTAATATGTCATTATCTACAGTATTTAATGCATCGCTGAAGTCAAGTCAGTTAGTTTTAAATCTCTTTCTGGACTTGATTTTATAATATGGTAACACTAATTGCACGGTAAACAAGTGACCGAATCCACTGCCAATACTTTTAGTCAATTGAATTTTCAAAAATAGATGGATATTTCCCAGACTTGTACAGGCATTTAGTATAATTTAAAAAATCTTAATAAATTATAATATTTATATCTGATATTATGCTTTACGTAGATGTTTGAAATTTCTCCCAACAACTTTTTCGCTTCTTGGGCTTAAAACCCTAACTTGGCTACCCTAGTACAGTGTAGGCATGAGATATACCTGCAACATTCTATACCCGGCCTCAAAGGTACGGGTATCGCCGTATACCCGGTGCTAAAACCCAGTATCAAAATACCTATAGGTATTAGTTGTGTTCAGGCCTCCTTTTGGAGACTCGGTCGAATCAAACGAATTGAACCTATGGTTGGACGTGGAACATTTAGATGTTTTTTTAGCAATCAGTTTTTTAAATTGAGATTTAATCAGTCTAAAATAAGCTCCATCCATACTAACTTAAAGAACCCTATTATCAAAAGAAAGTAATTCAAAATAAATATTACTGTTTAACCTTATTACGCAATTAATTATCCACCTAATTGACATAGAAATAAAGAATAAATTTATCGCAAGGAATTTTTTTATAAAATGCCTAAATCTTACGTTTCAATTCGGACATGATCGGGAAGGGCCGCCGTAAGCGTTCGAGGAACTTCGTACTATTCGGCCGGCGGGTTGCCGCGACCGCGAGCGTTATGAAATACCGCCACCGTCAGACGAGGCGGCCATACCTATCGGGTATGGAACGGGCCTCTGCCGTACATACCCGGTGCGCGTACTGGTATGTTCATACTGGGTATTTATACCTGTGCCAGTATATACGCCTCATCCCTAGTACAGTAGTGAATTTACCAGCAGGATAAGTAGACTAGAGCCTAGGGCGATAGATTTAAGGGGGATGTAAATGGTCCCATTTAAATTTCATATAGATCTTATGATGAGTTTCGCAGATAGACGACGGAACTCTGAATACATCTGCTTAACCTATTGAGTGTGACGCGAAGTTGCATATTTAAGCGATTGCAGCAATCGCGGTAGATTTGCTGTCATTATTTGCAGTGTATCAGTCACCTATCATGTGTGCATTGTAAGCGTCTACTTGTCTGACAGAGGGATATCAACAGTATTCCTTGGCGTTCTTAAAGCAATTCAATTTGGGCCGTTATTAATTCGCCAACGCATTGGCAATCGTAGTAAATAAATATAGTCAAATGAGTGGGAATTAAACTAAGATGACTATTGTAATTTTTTTGATTTTCCTAATTTAACCTACGACATATGATATGGGAACTTTCGCACACTTCCGCGACCCTTTTTTTCCGTGGGAAAAATCTTTTATTTATTCCCTGTCACTGGATCGGCAAGGGTATGTGGTAGTCCCAGTAGAACCCGGTACCCACAAAAAAAAACCACGTTTTTTAGGCCTCCTCTACTAACCGCTGATTACAAGTGTTCAAGTAACATACGTGTTACACGTGTAGTACACATATTTTTGAAATACAGCTGACAATTGTTTTTTGAGTCACATAGTGGGATTTGTAATAAATAAATCTTGTTATTACAGACGACGCCGGCCATCCAGTTATCTCTCTACATTGCGGTGAATCATCCAGTGAAAACCGAGTGGACGTGGCTGCCTCACCATCAGTAGACGCCGTGTTAGAAGAATTAGGTCAGGATGCGGAGAATAACATCACGCCATTGTGACGTAAGCGATCACATGTTCGGTGGAGTATCAGCAGTGCAGAGGGAGGCATTTTCTGGGTGGAATGCCGACGTGATTTGCATTAAATAATTATCAAATACATAATAATTACAGGATTAAATTTATTTAAAATTAGCGATCTGCCCCGGCTTCGCACGGGTGCAATATATTATATACATGAACTTTAATCTTGAATCATTCTATATAGTAAAAAAACCGCATCAAGATCCGTTGCGTAGTTTTAAAGATCGAAGCATACATAGGGACAGACAGACAGCGGGACGACTTTGATTTATACTATGTAGTGATGCACAGCAACGAGACGTTTATATTTCAAGTGACATTTTACCACAGTCACTTATTTTGCCTTCACGGAACCCCTCCACTAACACTTAAACTTTATGTTATGGTATTAAAGTTCAAATTGAGTTTTAAGTATTATTACGAATCTTTTGTACGGGAATATAGTGTTGTTTTTAGACTTTTTCAGGAAATTTTTTAAATTTTGCTACGTAGGAACCATCCTCATACTTCAAGGAATTTTATAAAAAAAGAGTTACCGAAATCGGTTCAGCTGTTCTCGAGATTTGCGTTTAGCAACACATTCAGCTATTCATTTTTAACTAAAGAGATTACATAATATTACCTAATAAACCGAATCCATAGAATTTTTACATTCCAAAAAATCTTGACTTTATTAAGGGTTTACAATATATGGCCGAGGCATTAGATTGAGATACTATTTTATTCTAATTAATTTAAAAATATGTGAGTAATAATATTTTTTTTAATTCAAAATTATGAGTTCAAATATGAATTAATTAAAATATCTAATTAATTAAATTAACTAATTATAAATTCTTGTAACAACTAGACAACTTATTTTGTAACCAAAAAATACATAATAAGTATTTATTAATTTTGTAATACGCTTTTCTTTTTTTAAATAATTCCATTTCTGGTTTGTAATAATGTAAACTATGTAAAAGTTTTCAAGTATCAAAACAATGCTGTCATCTATTAACATGTATAGTATTTATTATTTTATCTGTATTTCATTATTTTGTTCATTGTTGTCTATCTGTGTACATTTGTACAAAGTGTGCTACGAATGGCGCGCCGGTTCTTTAGTGATGTTAAAAAATAAATAAATTATGTGTATTAAATTATACAGTGTATATTCATAGATCAAGTCTTATAGATAATGTCCTCTACGTTTGAAGACAGTGTTTTCAATTTTGACTTTAATTTACTTCAACAAAGTCCAAAAAATGTCCCGGTGAGTTATAGGTTATTTATTTTACAATAATAATTTCATCAAATTTTCTTTTTATTTTATGGTCTACGCTTAATTCTATGTAAATATTAAATTCTATTGAACCTTATTCGCCATATAGTTCATATGCTTGGTAATTGGTTATAAAACGGTAAAATAATGCAGAATCATAGGTTTTGGAAAAATCAATACTACATCGAATGTAAAACGAACTTGTATTTTCCTCATTTATGTTCTTAATTTACTTTTAAATGTGTGTTATTCAAGAATATATACATAATTTTGTGAAGTTTTAGACATGTAATGATTTATGAGTTTGTAAGGCAATTCTATGGATACTTGTATATATTATTAACGCAAACTGGTATTGACTTTGGCTATTTCAGCTGTGTTTTAAATTAATGGTATATACTTCTTATAAACTGTGTCTTAAATTAATGGTTATAATTAAACTGTACAATATTAGTATGATTAATGATTTATTTGTACTATTTTATTTTATTTATATTTGAATTCATAATGTTGAAATAAAAAAAAATATTAATCACATATTTTTAAGTTAATTAAAAATGAATAGTATCTCAATCTAATGCCTAGGCCATAATATGTTTAAATAAAGTCAAGATTTTTGGGAAGTACAAATTCTTTTAAATACAAATATTAACTCTAGAATGGCTGGACCAATTCGGCTAATTTATTTTTTTCTATGTTCCTTAAGGTCCACAGAAGGTTTAAATAGAATAAAGAAATTATTTTATGAAAGTGCACAAAACTTTGAGCATAACAAGCATGTACTTGGATAGACCCAAAATTATTCATCAAGCACATTTATGTTAGTCTTTACTGATTGGAGACTGGACAGACTATTTTACAAGCTCGATGTTATTTTGTTCACATCATGCCAGTGCTAGCAGATTTATGACATTTTAACAAAGCATGCTATCTCTAAATTTTTTAATTCTGCTAATGGTTACAAGCCTATATTAATTTATAATAACATTATGTAACATGCTGTAAGAAGCCATGACTTCTTCCTTCTTGCAGCCACTTAAGCTGACTTACTGAAGTTATCTGCAAGTTGTGTAAACTGAAATAAGTTTCTTAATTTAAGTGATAACTGGGCAGCAAACTGATGAAGGTTTTATTTAATTTTTTACCACTTCATTGCTTTACTTTTGCTCAGCACAATCTGTAAAATCGCTGCTACCCATACTGTCACTTTCTTATGGTTGTGCAGTTTGGTAACAGTGAATCATTTAAGAATATTGCACAGATCCATAGAAAGAAAGTAACAGCCTAAACAAAACCCACCGCTGGGCAGAGGTCGCCTCTCTATGGAGGGTATCAGGGTGCTCAAGTATATTGAATTAAAGGCTAACGCCTTGAGTCTGGGTCATCACAGATCAATCCAAAAAATTTAATATCAATTTCTACTTGTAAAGTCGCAAGTAGAATTATGTATCAAAGATATCTAAAGGACTTTCCTTAGAAGCCATATCATTCACAAATTTTTGTATACAATTTAATAAAGGCATAAATAGAAAAGCAAAAAACTTTATTACACCCTTGACAATATTGGTAATTGTTTAAAATAATATGATTTTGTTTAACTCTACTTATTAAAATTCTTAGTGTTCAATACTGACCAAGGCAGTTAAGGAGTAAAGTAAATTTCTAAAAATGGTACTTTCAAATGAACTTAATTTTCAGGTTGAAAGTAAGATTGAAAAACAGCGTAAGGCAATTTTAATTGCGAAAAAGAAAACAATAGCTACAGAGTAAGTTTTAACAAGTTTTTGTAACAATAATTTTTATTTTATTAAAGTATAATATAATTATGTTTATTTTTCTTTTTTAGTTTTCTTATTAAGAAATATTATAGAAAAAAAGATGTCTTGGATCAGGCTGAGAAGATAATAATAAAATCTCAAGAAGAATGTAAACAAGTTTGCATAAATTATAATAGTGCCTTGGAGAAGTGCACACAGTTGGAAAAGGTATGTAAGCATTTTTATGAAAGAACAATAATATTTCTGAATCAAGGTTTTTGTTTTTACTCTAAAAGGCTAAGTCTCAATACTATTGCTATCAATGCAGACACATGAGGGTGTAATAATTTTTTATAATTATTTACAGTACTTTATTTACAGTCTATTGCAATACAAATACTAAAATCATAAAAAAAAACTAATGACATGTGAAAATAAACAAATAAAAGTGGGCTATTAAGCAATGATAGATATAGTAAATTGTAAACCATTGTGTTTTAATTAGAATTATTATTGATTAATTTCATATACATTCATTGAATATGAGAGATCGTGTATTCAACTATACAGTTTTCCTTGCATAGTATAGTTTTGGGATTATAACATCACTGGAAAAACCAAATTACTTAAATCCCAAAAATTTATTTGAGGGTTAAGTAATTTTGCCTTTCCAGAGTGACAATAAGTTATGTTTTATTACAGGATACACAACTTTTACACCTACAAATACAGGAACTGCAAGAACGATTGAATCATTCAGAGAACCAATGTGAGGCAATACAATCACATGCCAATCAACTTCAGGTGGTTTAGTTTTTATTTCTTTTTATCTTTTGTCAACCAAACATTTTTGTAATATTCATTTACTGCCTGTAGGTACTTGTTCATGAACTTGAGACACAGATAGAATCATTAAAAATAGAAAATCAACTAGAGAAATCAAACACAAAGGAGCAAACAAAAAGGATAGTATCACAGAAAAATGAACATGATGTTAATATTGATGACTTTTTTTTGCTTAGAGATATTGTACTGGGAAAAAGTAAGTATTGCCTTAGGAAGAGCATTATGAACTCTATAATAAATGGGGAGACACATGATGATAAAAAATAATTCTTATTACAGAAAAATTACAAAATCATCATAAGATAATTCTAAAGAAATACGATAAGTTCAGACCAAATACTGATGCTGATGACTCTGCTTCTGACTGTGGTATAGACGAAATAGATGTGTTTGATGATTCAAGTTCATCACCGACACCTGCCAATGTTCTATCTAAAAATAGCAATGATCAGGTATGGTCTCTTTATGCAATATTAAAAAAAATACAATAGATTACAGTATAGTTTTTAATGTGTACTTGTAATTTAATGAAATATAGATATACAGCGTGTCGTTACCATCGCGACAATAAATGAACACACATATAGGGGATAACTTTTTAAAGCTGTATTAAACATTTAAATTCTTTAAACATCAATATTTATAGAGTTATTAAATTTTCCAAAACAAAGAATTTTAGAACACCCTTACCTAAAAGCGTAACGTAAAGTTCATTTGTCAAGGGCACAAAGCATATGAATGGGTTGAATGAATTTAAAAGAGACAAAACATACTGTTAGAAGGAGAGGCTTGTAATACGACGCTGCGGCGCGAGTTGTATAGGATGTTACAAATTTTGTTTCTTTTTTACATAATTAGTTTGTTTGAAATATATTTTTTTTTAAATTATGGATTTTGTTTAACGTTAATATTTTTTTATGATTATTGGCAAGTAGCGTTAGGCGTGTGTTCATTTATTGTCGCGATGGTAACGACACGCTGTATATTTATATGAATATACAAATTTACACATTTGTTCTTTGATTTTATATAATTTAAAATAAGTAATTTGTATAAAAAAAGATAACAAAAAGCATTTACTTTTTAGGCTCTCAAATCTCCTTCCTCAAACAAATTGGAGAAAAACATAAATAATGGTAAGTTTTCAATAATATTTTAAACCTTAATCATCATCATCATCATCATCATTTCAGCCTGTTTGAGTCCACTGCTGAACATAGGCCTCCCCCATAGACTGCCACGAAGTACGATCCTGAGCCACCTGCATCCATCGACTTCCCGCACATCACAAACCTTAATAATTGTGTCAATTTAATTTGGAGATAACAAATGTCTATATGTTATTTATAGTGTCCGACCGAAAGTTTGGTTTAGATTTCGGTCGAGTTTCGGCAAAAAAACGAGTTTCGGTTTTATTCGATTTCGGCGGCAAACATGCCGAAACTACGACCGAAACCGAAACTTTTTTTTTGTATCATTGATGTTACGCTTTCGGACCTTAGACTATTAAAGCTTCATCGAACGCGGAACCGGTGGACTAGCCATAACCCACGGCTTTGAGGTCCGCCTCAGTGGGTAGGGCCGCGCATGTACTCAATACAATACAATATCAGCCTATTGCCGTCCACTGCTGAACGTAAGCCTCCCCCAAAGTGCGCCAACTCATGCACGCATGTACTCATGCGTGCGTTATTTGTGACATGTCGCCTACGGGCCATCGAGGTTCGGTGAGAACCGTGACCTCGATGGCCGTTGACCGTGCTTGTTTTGTCGGTGGCCGGGGGCGGTGAGAACCGCCCTGGAACACGGGTGTACTTAGTGCACGCGTTGTGTGTTCGAAGTGTTTTGTGGCCGTATGCGAAGGCGAGGACGAACTATGGTGTTTGTTGATGCACTAAGTGAGTGTGTAGTGTTATTTGTCGGCACCCCCGACGGTGGGTTCGACGTTCTTAAGTCCCTTTCTTTCAGTCCTTAAGATGCGCGGGCGACGCTTGTTGACGTTCGTGTTAATTTTGGTTTGGTAATTTGCTGCGCTTACCACCAGATGTTCCTTGTAAGGAAGTTTCGGTTTCGGCTGAAACTGAGTTGCCGAAATTCGGTTTCGGTTAGTTTTGGTTAGTCGGTTTTGGTGGTCAAAACCAGTTTCGGTCGGACAATAATAATTTATACATACTCAAGCTTTATAAAAAAAGCATATGGTGAAAAATATTTAAAAATAAATTAACCATTTGCCTGCCCTTTAACACTACAATAAATGTCATCTTTGAACAAATGTGCTATATTTATCACCATTTTGCTTGCAGATGAATTACGATTCAGAAGTGTAGATGTAGATCTTGATTCAGATTCTGGTAATGAAGTAATAAGCGAAGACACAGGTCGAGGATCATCTCTAGCTTGTTCTGATATTGAAAAATGTTTTAATAGTCCCGATTACTACATAACAAACAGTCCATTTAGTAATACAATGCATAAGGAGAAAAAGAATTTAACTGATTCATCAACGAGCCCGATAACAGTGTTAATGGAGAAATCTGAAGCAGAATCAAGTCCCCTATCTTTTACACAACTCATAAATAGCCTAGATGTTTCGGATATGAAAAAATCAACTAAAGATATTGGAGTCACAGTAGTACCAAGAGACTTTATTCTTAATAGAAATGTAGCTACAAGCCCTATAAAGATGAAACTGGTTGGAAGGGCGACAAGCCCCATGAAGGTAATACAACAAGAAAGAGCCACAAGTCCTATGCAGACAGAACGACAAGAAAAGGTAATAAGCCCCCACAAAAAAATGTTGCAAGAAAAAGCAACTAGTCCTGTAGTATTTGACAAGATGAGTTATAAAACTTCGGAAACAGCTGAAAAAGAGTGTTTAGAAATAAATAGCAGTAATATTTTGAATAATAATCATATTAGTGACAGTGAGGTGGAAAACATTTTAAGTACAATGCGCTTAGATTGTGAGTTGATAACACCTATTCCTAAGTCACCAGCAAAGGCACAAAATACGGGCACCAGTCAAACTAGAGCGTATGTGTGCCAAGATGCTGCAAGAATCGGGATAGAAAATGATATTTTGAAAACTAAAGTGGCTGTTATAGAAAAAGATTTAGTGAACAACAAGAGAATTTTTAAAAAAATTGCATCATTACTTTACACTATATGTGGCGATGAAGTGCAAGAGATCGCACAAGATTGTAATGACAATGACATAATACTAAATAGTCACAAATATGACGTACAATTGAATAGGTCCTGTAATAATTTGAATGTCAGCAAAAGTCCGGTAAGAAATTTGCCAGATAAATTAAATATTCTTGACATTAAGAAAACACCTGAATATGAGAAACCATCAGAAATTGAACCACAAAAAGAAATAGAAAATAGGGATCAAAATAGTAATGAAATTGTGCCTACTGAGAAAATAATCAGTGGAGATTGTTTGCATAAATCGCCAATAAAGGTTGCGGATAAAGTGAAGAGAACAACAAAACTAACTAGGCTAGAAAAATTGAGAAAGAAGTTAGTTCCCAAAAGCAAAATTCGAAGAGCATTGACACCACCAATTCGAAAAGTTAGACGAAGAAAACAACTCTTATTCAAGAAGAGTTATACAGAACACTGCTCTAAATCGGCAATAGATAATAAGACTGCTTTCGAAAATGCTGTGAAAGTAATGGCTGAATTGAAAGCTAAAGAAAAAAATAACCCTAAAAATTCATCTATACTCAGAGAATTTGAAAGCAGCAAAGACTTTACACAGGAGCTGCATATAGTCCTCTCAAAATGTGATGAAATTATTGCAAAAGATGGAAATGTTACTAATCCTCTACAATCAGTGTATCAAATATCTCCTGTGATTAAGTCTCCTGAAAATCAGATAACCAATAATAATTGTGATTCTAATGTTTCTAATACATCTACTGTAAATAAAACAGCCTCAGTAAATCCTAATAACACAACTACTGAGGCAGTATCTTCTAATTCTATAACTACAAGAAGCCGAAGTAAGCGTTTGTCATCATCACTGTCAAACAACTCTGATACAACTGAACAAACTGTATCATCAATTCAACCGCTACAGGAAGAAAATTCAGCTACCAGTGAAGATGAACGTTACAAACGACTTAAACGCGTTGCCTCAGATGAAGGAGAAGTTATAACTAAAAGAATGCTTAGGAGTTCTAATACATTGCATACTTCAAATATAAGTGCACACTCCATTAAGAACAATAATAATGAAAGTACTCTGGTTCCGCCAAGTACAATGACAAAACCAATTGAAAATCGGAGGAGATCTGCTAGACTATCCACTTCGCAGAAAAACGAACCATCTATCATTGAAGATTCGGGCAGCCCTAAAAAGACTGAAGTTATTACTTACGATGATCTTGACATATTCTCAGAGTCAAGCTCACCTAAAAACCAAACACGTCGAACAAGTATGTCAGATAAAGTGGTCCATCCAAAGGAAAGCATTCTGTGTAGAATGATAGAAAAGCATGCAAAATATTCTGTCAGATGCAATGTGAAGAAAATGTCAGGTATTTTTATTACTTTTATTTATAAATATATATTTTAAAAGGCTATTTTCACTATAAAAACTGTAAAGAAGAAATGTTTATACAAATTCTTTGCTTAACTTTCTTTCTTAAAATAATTTCTTACATTTATGTGGACATTGAAAGGACGCTATAACTTAATTCTACATCAAATATATTGATTTTAACATCATGTTAAAATCAATATATTTGATTTTAACATGATGTTAAAATGTTTGCTGCTATTAGAGAAATTTGCGAATTTTACGAATACTTTCACATATAGTGTGTACAACAAGTACTAAACACTGCTAAGTATTTAAAATGTTAGATTTTTTAAATACTTTTGTTTAATATCAAAAATCAAAATCAAAAATATATTTATTCACATAGACGCTTGCACGTTCTTATGAAACGTCAACACTACATAAAAATTAATACGTTCGGAAGTAAGCTACCACCGGTTCGGAAAGCAGTTTCTGTTGAGAAGAAACCGGCAAGAAACTCGACAGTTGCTTTTTTTTTCAAACGATTAGTTTACAATATAATACGATAGGTATAAATCTTATTTTAGCCTACGTGAGTATCAACAGTATTAACCCCACACATTTGCGTCGTCAAGATATTCCAAATGGTATAATGGCAATGGTATAATACGCCTTAGCCATAAGTTCACTTTTAATTTTGCGTTTAAATTGATCTAGTGGCAGACTTAATGTCGACTTTGGGATTTTATTATACATGCGCACACTTTGTTCCATGAACGATCTATTTACTTTTTGTATACGAAACAATGGCGTAATTAATTTGTCCTTATCTCTAGTATTTAGTTTATGTCTAATTGTCTATCTATAATGACATATAACGAACATCCGTTGCTTGGAAAATTGTTTCATATACCTACCTATGTTCCGTTTCGGAATCCATATCGAAGCAGTTATGGGTACAAGCTCCTGAAAAAAATTTTTTTTTTTCAGATACTACAATAAATTTAATGTGCCAAAAATTGGAAAACGGTATATCGCACATTCTCTCTGTACCTCAAAATGAATCAAAGGAGGCTATGAATAATTTTGTTAAAGAAATACAAAATTGCAATTTGCAATACTTTTTAGGTGGATTAATGAAATATTTGAAAGACCCTACACGTAAAGATGAATTGTATAATAAAGTAAGCGCTCCACCAGCGCCACACATGACGAAATCGGAACAAGTACTGATATATATTATAAAAGAATTGCAATCTGTCTGGTCGTCTATAGATTTCAAAGATATAGTTTTGTCCAGTATTGAGTTTGCTTTGTTTCAATTAAATCACACACCCGAGTTTGGAACTGTGGAAAGTATGTCACACTTTTATGCAGTATTGTGCAGATATTTCAGAGCAAAGAGCCGCCTACGTGTATTCCTTTTAGATGCTATGTACTGCATACAGTTTAAATCAGTGGCTCTAATAAAACAATGTCTAGATGTTTGGATGCATATTTTACCTTTAGCTCACATGGGAATAGGTAAGTTGTTAGATATGTGTTCATTGTTATTTTAATTTTTGTTTAAGAATATTAATTGGATATTTTTTTTTCAGCAAAAAGCCCTTTGGTAACTTGTTTAGTTTATTTGTTACACTTTTTCAAATGTGAAGATAAATTTAACAGGGTGCAAGAAATTAGGGATATATTGAGTCGTAAATATTTTTACCAAGTATCAGAGTGGACTGAAATTAAGGTTTTGGAAATGTTTAAAAATGCGATTAAAGAATTGCGTGGTATGTATGTTTTATTTCCTAGTTTGTGTTTTTGTAAATTTTGTGCTAAAGAAAGTTTTATTACTTCATATTTAGGTTGTTGGTTTGGTTATCTTACCTATTTGCATGACTTATAAATGATGTAACCAACATTTTAAATTTTGTTTTAAAAAAATGTATGTAATTTTTTTACAAGAAATATTTTTCTTCTATTATAAAAAAATGCTGCACATTACTATTCAAATTTTTCATTTCTTTTAAAATATCTGAATATTATATTTTCTATACCATCTCAATAACCTTTTAATAATTTAAATGTGCTACTATTTCCTACCTTATGAAACAGAACAATCAACATAACCAAGCTTTTTGTCACTTTTTCAATAAATACTGTAATAATTTTCTTGTATTATATTCCCAGATATTCCCATTGAAAAGAAAATGCTCAGGTCCTCTCTAATTATTCTTGCTAAGCGAAGAGGACCCCAATGGTGCCAAAAGCATATCATAAAAAATATGCTCCAGCCTCTTATAGAAAATGAAAACGTGTCAGAAAAAGTAAAGGAATTTTGTGTTTCTATTTTGGGACCACTATTGAAGCCCTACCCTAATGATATGAAAGTACATTGTGAAATTGTTGTTAACCAGCTGTTAGAAATGTTGGAAAACAATGGTAAGTACTGCCTCAAACATTGTATTTGCCCTTGGTACTTGGGGCCTTATATTTGTTATATATATTATTATATTAAACTGAAATTTTAATATATTTTTATTATTTCAACAATGTTTATAAATTATTTCAGTTTCTCCTCGAATGAAGGAAGCTATATTCTCTTCCTTACTATATATGCGACGGCACAACCAAACCCGAGTGACTCAAGCACTGTTAGCTTGGAATCCTGTTAATATCTCACCAGAGCTTGAAAAACTTCTGCAAGATTATGTTAGAGAAAAACCAGCTAAAATATGGAAAACCACACTGTCAAAAGTGTCACTAATGTAGTCTCCAATTGAATTGTGTAAATGATCATTTATGTTAAGATAAACTGTAAATAATAAGATAAATTGTAATGTAGCATTTTGGTTTTAGTTGTATATATTAATATTTTAATCGATAAACTAGTTAGGTGGTACTTACTGCCTTATTCAGAGACATAACTTAGCATTTACAAAATTAGTTAATTTGTAAAGTTGAGTATTATTTAGTAAGGGCTAATTGATAAAAGTTCACTTTACCCTCAAAAGTATGGGAAAGCTTGTCTAGACTAGTACTGCACTGCGGCTTTATCGAAGACCAGTGAAATTATTATAAAGTATAATAATTCTACTTCATGCTGTTTTGTCTTGATGTTAGGCAAAGCATTAAGTGTTGTATCCATGGGTGGCGGTAATCACTTGACGTTGGGAGTACAGTTAATTCGCTTCATCGTCCGCTGTCGTTTCGTTCGCAGTCGTCTCACATATGTACGTAATAGTTTATGTCTTTGGATGTGGCCTTAAGTATTTGTATTGAAGATATGTATTCTGTTTAGTTATTGCAGTGTACCATGTTGGACGCTCGCTTGTACTCTATTACATATTTGTGTGATGTTTATTGTTATTATACCTTTTCAGCGCATTTGCAAACATCGAAGTGCTTTTGCGAATATATGTAGTTAAAACTTTTCCAATGTCCGCCTTGCGATTTTAACAATTGTCATGTCGTAATTGAGTTCAATATTAATAATACAGGTAACACCATAAATCTTTGTTTCGGTTTAACATATTACTTTATTTAATTCTGTAGGTCCTTACATTGTTCTTTTTTTAATACAAATTAGTTCTTTTTTAATTAACAGGAGATACGTATTGTCTTTAAACAATGCCGAAAATAGGTCGTATAGATGTTTTATGATGCTTCTTTGAATTTTATAAGCTTTATAACAAGGTACCATTATTCCAATCTTATTTCAATATTGATTGGTTTTTTGTGATCGTGATAAAACGATATTTCATAATCCGAGAGTAAAATTGGAAATACGTAATGCTACAGGTGGAGAGTGGCGAATGTTGTACTGTATGGCCAAATTTTTGTAAAAGATGGGCATACATATGATCAAAATGAACTTTACCACTGCATTTATCTGTAGTTTAACGGTTAAAAAGCGGTCAACCAAAATTTAATCAATGTGATTTGCCTATAGTGTATTTGTCTTATCGAGATATAAACTTATAAGAAAAACTTATTGTATAAGAGAAATAGCGAGATCGTGATAGCTTTTATGTCGTGTAGTCGTCTATTAACACGCTCTTGTTGAGCACTAACATATATAACTAAGTCTGCAATTAGGTACTTTATTAAAATACGCATTTATTGGAGTTTTAAAATGATTATGAAGACAATTATATATTATTGGTTGTTTCTCTTTAAATGCCAAAGTACAAAAATATGTAATGGCGATTGTATCAACCACCATGTACAAAATTGTCTGATTTAGTTTACTACACTCACTCCATGCTTAACAATATCTGTATAATTACGAACATTAGTAGAACCTAGTACACCTTTCGATGTTTGCAGGGTCTGCCAAAGGTATTAATTGTATTTTACCAAAAGGAAATGCATGCACTAAAGGTTAAAGCAGTTTTCCTCAGCATATTTTCTGTGATTTTAAGTAGGAACACTTCAAAATAAAACTTTTGAGTTTCGACATGTATTTTATTTTAACACCTGTTATTATACATTTATTACTTACAAAAATGATCACCTTATTAAGATAACTTTTCAAGTACGCTATAAATAATAATGGTCCACTACATACATTTATGAATTTGTCAAAACTACCTATAAAAGTAAAATTTAGTAATTTGTTTTATATTTCTTTATTTCAACCATTATTACATGTATGTTGACCAATTGTGTTCGCGCATTAGGCGTCAATAATTTCGCAAATTTATGATAATATTGCACAAAATTAGTAAGAGCCATCTGTAACAAACCAGACCCTGTTACGAGATTCGGAAATGAGACCAGAACTTCTCTATGGATTTCTTCAAGACTTTGTTTCCAACCAGACGTGAATGAGGCCACCAATGAAATTGATTTTTTTTCTAAATTTGCTAATTCACTAGTTTTGCCGGCTTCTAAGAACTGTTCACCTTCTTTGACAAACTGCATTAATCCGCCAAAATGCGGGCTTAATATTTCTTCAACATATTCTGTACTTCTTGCTTGTAATTGTTCTCTGAAACTTTCCGCTTCTCTTGTATTGTCTCTGGTTCTTTCCATAAGTATACTTAATACCATGTCGTAATTATTAATTAAAAATATGAGTTGTTGAATCCTTTGAGCGAACTCTGCTGCCATTTTTAATAAAAAGCAGTGCACTTCATCTTGTAATATTAATAATAAACTATTCAATTGCTCAGAAGGAAACTGTTCACTTAAACTCAACATGGCAGCAGAAAATTCAGCATATCTTCGAGTTATCTGAAACAGGTAGGTGAAATAATTATGATATCAACTTCAGTTAATTCATGTCCAGGCGGTATCGTTCTGTGATCAATAAATAATCTCTATAATATTTTATGGATCTTATATATAATAAGTCAAAACTTGTTTGGTTTGTATATAATGTAGGTATTTTTATTAGATTATATGCAAGGTATAAGATATTTTGACAACTTTTCTATCTTTTGATTAACCGATTTAATTGTAAAGGCTGCCCTATTGGGGTATTTGCGATATTATTTCCGCCAGGATTTAATTAATATCTACAAGACAGAGTCCAATATTAAAAATATGTGTTTGTATAATGAGCTAACACTGTCTTCAAGCACCATCATGACAGTGGAAAAATGATGACAAAAGCGAATAATGACCAATTCTAGGTGAAGAAATAATTATAAAATATTGTAATACTGTTCTATTCATAGACAATTCAGGACCATTTGGAATTGACAAAAATAACATAGTGACTTGACATTGGATAATTCAGCAATTCTTTAAAGAAAAGCCATAAAGAAAGAAAGAAGAAAAAAGTAACTGATAAAATGTTTTTTTTACAAGTTAAACGCCACTAACTAAGATACCATAAATAGTAACTTCCAGGGGTATTCCACTCCAGCTGAAGTTCTATGGGACTACCATTTCGTAGACGTCTCATTTTGAGGCAGTATAATAAACAGAAGCGGCATAAAGGAGTTCAAGTAGAAAATGCAAAAATAACGATCAAGTAGATTCAAGTAGGCCGAGTAGGAAGGGCGTCCTACTCGGCCCCTTTTTCACGGCCAACAAACTTCCCGAGTTCGCTGACCAGACGCCGCGGTAGCCAGGAGAGCCAGTGCCAATGAGCAGCAAGCCCCCCAGCCCCGAGCGGCGAGCCTGGCTCCGCCACAGTACTTTTCGGCCGCGGAACGGCTTATCGCAATCACCACTGCATCTGCGGTGTTTCCCCGCGGAGGTTAAGGAGAGTGGCGGAACGGCGATTCCTACTCGGTACGAGAAGACGGGGAGAGGGGTTCCTGGTCTATCACCCTCGATCTATCCCTGGCAGCCTCCAGTCCATCCGCATCCAGAGTGAGCTCAATGAGCCCACTCAGAGCGGCTCTCTAGGAGCCGTCTTATACCACAGGGGTCCAGTGTGGATTCCAGCCACTGCTACTAAGCCCCAACGCCACGACAAGGCGGGAACCCGGTCGGAGGGGAATGTAAATCACCTACTCCATGTCAAAATCCATTAAGTTTTTATACATTATCATATGTTTTCACGAGCTAAGATAATAAACGTCTTCAAGGTCACGTCGGTCACATTCCATAAAAGTTTTCCTTTATAATGTTCTTCGTTAAAAATAAGCGGTTCAAACGTCACCCTACCTTGCGGTCACGGGTGACCTCCATGGCGCAAAAGTTATTATTTTTGGATACCGGTGTCCCCCGTGGCCTAAATGGAACTATATTGATGGAGCTTTACGCGTTAACTAATATTACCAACTGTTATTAACATATAAATATAATATAAAATATGTGTGGTTGCCGGGGCCAACTTTATTAAAAGGTGGCAAAGCATTTGTAACCCTACGGGTGTTGCAAATGTCGAAAGGCGGTGGCTATGACTAAACATCAGCGGAACCACCGGTTCACTTGCCACCTACATAAAAAAAAAACAAAAAAAAACATTGCCTCCTACATACATAATGTGGTCCGAGTTCTTTGTTAGACAACTTTGCAGGATCACAGTCTCTTACACTTTGAATGTTCAGTTTAAAAACATATTCCAGCCTCGGGTAAAGGGCACTCAATAATGAATCCCAATAGCTGAAACAATAATGTTTAAATTCATTACTCAGTATTACGTTGTTTTACTGTTAAAAAAGTGAAGTCATTTTCACGAATGCAACTCGCATTTGTGTTCTTATTGAACATTAAAATATGTAGAATGTTCGTCGGTGTGGTCATCAGCCGTTTAGCTCAGTGGCTAGAGCGTCAGGCCGCGAATGCCGAAGACGTGGGTTCAATTCGTTCTACATATTTTAATGTTCAATCTTAAGTGCAAAGATTAGCACTATAAACAATTTAAATTTCTAAAAAAGCAATGGCGCCATCTATCGTTCGAATTATCGTTGTAAAACGATATTCGAAATTGTTTGTATGCTGGAAAGGATATAACAATAGATGGCGCCAAGCATTGCTTCAAATGCCAAGAAAACAATGTAGAGGAATGCGTTAAGATTTTCGTCGGTGTGGTCATCAGCCGTTTAGCTCAGTGGCTAGAGCGTCAGGCCGCGAATGCCGAAGACGTGGGTTCGATTCCCACAGCGGCGACAATCTTTTCGCACTTTTTCTACATATTTTAATTATTCATTTTCATTAAAAATGAGATTGGTTTGAGGATATTCAATTAAAAGGCAAGCAAATTTGGTTCCTTCCTTGCATTTCCGAAATAGGTCCGGATATTTAATATAGAACTGTGTCATAGTTTAAGCCTTGTTACAATTTCATTAAATTACCTGTCCAAAGCAGCAACAGCTCTTTTGTGACACATCCATTTATACCTGTTTATTAATTGAATGCACAAAAAAAGTGCAAGACAATCATAACATTCCAATACATAGTTTTCAACATTTTTCTGAAAAAAAAAATGTTTTCAGCAAAATGCAATGTCTAAGTAATAAAGTTATTTTTTTTAACTACAATAAATCGACTTTACAAACCACAAGTAATGATAGGGTTTTTCCTAAAATTCTATCAAAAAGTTCTTGGGCATGAGTGGCTTTTACATGGAAAAATTCTGTAGTAAATAAATATTCTCTGCAGCTGTTATCCACCAATGCATATTGAAGACTTCTGAATAATGCTTCATAAGGGTACTGCAAAAATAAGTTTTTATTACTTTCCTTACACAAAAAGCAGTTTTTGCAGTAATAACAGAAATAAAACACATTTAACAGGCAACCTAATAGTCATAAGAAAGCACAGATATTGAAGATGATAAGATTAGCTTATATGTGGGTCACACTGAAAGTTCTTAGAAAATTATAAAACAGCTGATTGGAGAAAGTTGCTAATACTTTTATTATTGTTCGAAGTAGTCTTCGTTACTCTTTACTCGTCTTCGCAATTTATGGCACCACTGAGAAAAGCAGTGGGCTTATCTTCTTTAGGGGTTTCTTCTACGGCATTTACGAACTCACTCCCAGAACTATATGGTAGATGACTCATTATTTCTACACCTGGCATAGTAAAATATTGAATTGTTCATTTCGCGAAGTGAGTTAGCATTGCCATGGTAAAGCAGGATCCTGCTTCGAGGATGCTGTTGTACAACATTTTCCGAGACAACAGGCAAACAGTAACAGTCCTTCCATCTTCCAGAACGACTATTGTGATTTCGCTGCGGTCTTCCTTGATTTCTTCATTTCATTACTTTACTTGACCGATCCTCAAAACGAAAAACACGCCTACTGAGCAGATATCTTTTGGTTTCGGGTTCCATGGCTACTATTGGTCCGGCTTTCATCGCCTGTGACGATGTCAAGTACAGCATTAGAGTCACCTCCGTTAAATTTTTCTAATATTTTGCAACACCTATCCATATAAAGGCGATTCTGGTCTTCGGTCAAAGTATGGGAAATCCATCTGGTACAAAGCTTCCTGATGCCTAAATGGTTATTATCTATAGAAACGGCAAAAAATCATGTTTGTTGTATGGGAGCTCCACTTAAATGTTTATTAGCATTTGTTGTTATAGTGGCAACGAAAATACATCACCTGTGAAAATGTCAACTGTCCAACTAGCCTGGTGACAGACGGATAGACGGACACACACAGGAGTCTCAGTAAATAATTTTATTTTCCCGTTTTAACTTTTGGGTACGGAACCCAAAAGGAACAGTTTTGACACCTCCAATGTACGTTGACCCCTGAACTATATTATCTGTCATCTATCATATATATATCATAATTATGTAATACCACCTTAGCCTGCTGTTTTTGCAATTAGGAAGGTTAGGCAGCTATCAGACATCGACACTGCCAGACTTGTTTACTACAGTTATTTTCACAGCATCTTGTCGTACGGCATTTTGTTGTGGGGTAGTGCATCTGATATAAATTCAATATTTATTATTCAAAAAAGAGCTGTCCGAGCAATTTATAACATCGGAGCCCGGAATACACTCAGAGATCTTTTTAAAGAGATTAATATACTCACTGTTGCGTCTGAATATATTTATTGTAATATTTTGTATGTTAAACAGAATATTAATAATTATCAAAAGAATAGTGACAGACATAAACTAAATACTAGAAATAAGGACAAACTAACTACGCCATTATTTCGCCTACAAAAAGTAAACAGATCGTTCATGGGGCAAAGTGTGCGCATGTATAATAAAATCCCACAGTCGATGTTAAGTCTGCCACTTGATGAATTTAAACGAAAAACTAGAAGTACACTTATGGCTAAAGCCTGTTATACTATTGCCGAATATCTTGACGACGCCAATGTGTGGGGTTAATACTGTTGATACTCACGTAGGGTAAAACAAGACTATTGTACCTGTACTATTATATTGTAAACTGATTTTTTAAAAAAGAGCAACTGTTGAATTTCTTGCCGGTTTCTTCTCAACAGAAACTGCTTTCCGAACCGGTGGTAACTTACGAACGTGTTAATTTCTTGTAAAATTTTGACGTTTCATAAGAACGCGCAAGCGTCTATGTGAATAAAGATATTTTATTATTAATTATTATTATTAGCTGCGGCACATAAAATCATAAACCATCATCTGGAAATTGACGTCGAAATACGCCCCAAACAATATTTCCCCCATTGCTTGGTTCTCGACCCACCAGCACTGGGTAGATTAAAAAACGATAACTTAGCAAAATCATGATGTCTAATTTTTTTGGACTGTTAGAATGACCTTGAACCCAACTTCCTTAGGTTCGAATCTAACCTGTATATGCTTTAAAGGAAATGAGCCAAGAACTAGGGAAATCAACCTGGACCGCATTAGAAAGTAATTTTGTAAGTGATCGGACGAAAAAAAATAAGAGGAATCTATACTGTTATTATATAACTGAAGAGTTTGTTTGTTTGAACTCGCTAATCTTAGGGACTACTGGTCCGATTTGAAAAATTGTTGCACCTTTACATAGCCCATTTATTGGGGAAGGCAAAAAGCTAGTTTTAACTAAAATTAACAGTTAGTAACATGTCCAAGTCTTTTAATGAAAACCAACCTTCACATTACAACGGCGGGGCATTGAATATTAATTTTTGACATTCCGCCAGGGAGATAGAGATCCATTCGTCTAAGAAAAAGTTCTACAGCTCTCTTAAATTGGCAGTATGCTTACGATCATCGTTCTACTGGAATGTCCAAACAGTCGGAAGCACGCCTTCAGCATAAGGTAAAACTGTTTCTTACGGTATATTTTTCTATCGGAAATGAGCCATGTTTCCTCCTATCAGCTTAACAGGTTATCATTATATTATCTAGAAAAGCACTCCCAAACTTTCACATGTCCTCCACCATGGTTTAATGTCACTTTTGTATACTAAGGGTCAAATGCTTTATTCGAAAGCCGTCGTACTGGTCGTTTTCCATCAGAAAATATCCTGTATAGTTTTTTTCTTTATAGAAAAGGACATTTTCCCACAGTCGGACTGTCAAGTTTTCATACTTTCTTGCAAATGCAAGCAGGGCTTGCCTATGGCACCGTTTCATCATGGGCACCTTCCTTGCTACCCTTCCGAGCAAATTTTCTTCTACCAGATACCTTCGAATACTGTGTGCTGAGATCTAGTTGTGCTCATCAGATGGTTTAAAAGGATTTTGTTTTTCCAAACGAACGATATTTCGATCATCTCAACGAGGCGACTTTCTCTGTTTAGGTATACGCGAAACATTTGAAGTAGTTTGATAAGTAGCAAAATGCTTCATAGCGTGGACAATCTTCGTTTTTGAGCATTGCGAAGTTTTGTTATTATTTTCCTAGTAGACTTATCACAACTTTTATTTTTCCCAATATTGTTTTCATATTAAGCAATCAGCTAATTTTACAACACTAAATGGCACCAAAATTATATGAATAGTGACCTACAGCCCAGAGACTCAGTGTTCTGTATTTTAATTTGAATCCATACTAACATTATAAATGCGAAAGTAATTATGTCTGTCTGTCTCGCTTCACGCCAAAACTACTGAACCGATTTAAATTAAATTTGGTACACAGATAGTTTAGAGCCTGAGAAAGGACATAGGCTATTTTTTAATTGGAAAAAGGATTATATATGGTTCTTAAAGGGGATAGATATTTATTTAAGGGCTTGAACGCGAGCGAAGCCGCGGGCGAAAAGCTAGTAAAAAATAAACTATTCAGTGTACTTAATTATGTGACCAGCCAGGAAGTAGTAATGCTAGGTTCAGATTTAAGACGAATAAAGTTTACCCATTTATTTTTTAGCCAATCATGTGTATCAACAAATGAACCGCTAGTATGGAAATGTTTTGAGATACAGAGAGAAATAAAAAAAATACATGTCAATAAATACAAGGATAGGGCATGCACAAAGTGGTCATTGTCCTATGTGCCTGTTTGCTTTAATTTGCACATATTTACCTGACCTGACTAAAATTAACCAAATTATGGAAATTAATAATGAATGACTTCCAGACTAAAATTTTATGTAAGCATATTACATGAAACAATAAATTTGTCACTACATTTACATGTAAATCTTAAAACAATTCTGTTCCAATATGTACTAATTACATGGTAAAATAACCAAATATTAACAATTTACTCAAATATATAATCAAAGTATATTCATTTATCCATACTATCCATACTAATAATATTCATAATCAAAGTATATTCACTTAGCTATTCTAATTAAATCCAAGCAATTTTAAAGTTACCAGACTACTAAAATTATATGCTGTTACTTTTCCTTTATCAACAGTATCATACACTTTTATCTTTTTATAACTTTTTAAATAGCAATGGTGTCATCTCTTGTTCGAATGATCATTGTAAAAACGATATTCGAAATTGTTTGTATGCTGGAAAGGATATAACAAAGGATGCGCCAAGCATTGCTTTAAATGCTAAAAACAATGTAGATATAAGACATTGACATTTTCGTCAGAGTGACAATCAGCCTATGAACCAACTAAATAATGTCAATGTCTTAGCTTAGTGGCTAAAGCGTCAGGGCGCGAATCCCGAAGATGCGTGTTCGATTCCCACAGTGGCGAAAAACTTTTCATACTTTTTTCTACAAATTTTAAGTTTTACCTTTGTTTTTTGCTGTACATGAGGAACAATAATTGGAGCTTCCAGTTGTTGGGCCAAAACATCACCTCTATTACCAATAGTAAATATTGTACTTTTATTTTTCAAGTTTGACTTTTGAAAAAATCCTCCTTTAGAACCATCTTCAACCCCCATGAGGTCATCTTTAGTGGGAACCTCTTCATATTTTAATTTTTCTAGTCTTGATGCATATGATTTAAAGTATGAGTAGTAAACTTTACTCAAAGTGTCAATATATTCATTACATATTTCTTGAGCCACATTTCTTTCATTAGTTAGTACAAACTCAAAGAAAAATTTATATTTTAGCATTGCATTCTGTGGAATTTGATAATTAGCCATGGGTTTACGAAATTTATAAATTTGTTCAAGAATATATGTTCTAATTTTTGAAACAGCCTTTATTTTTAGTTTTTCTAAGACATCTTTTACATCATGACAGGCCTTAGTTTCTTTGAAATCTTGCTCCTTAACAAAATTCAGTTTTTGGTTCAATATTGCTAACTGCACCATAAATTCTTTATCAGTTACAGGTACATTATTGATGCCACTGTAATACAATATTTTTTATTGTGTTAGGTTTTAACTGTAATGAATAAAAAAATTATAACTAATAACTTACAAAATCAGTGTTTCAGAGACTGCCATATCTTCAATAAATGATGAAAGTGGTCCTTTAAGTGCTTGTCTATTGGAGAGTTGCACAGACATATTTACAGACCTCTTTTGCAAGCTGATGATTTCATTACTAATGCTTCCAAGATCATTCTAAAATATCAGAAAAATACAGTAGATACATACTTAGACAAGAATAAACTGAAAATTTATTCTTGTCTAAGTATTATCTTATTTACGCAATATCATATAAAATATTTAAATAAAAATGCATTTAAAAGGAATGAAATAAGCAGTGATAATAGTGACAACATTGCTACATTAAGCTTAAATCTTAAGGCTTGTTTTTATTATTTGAACATAATATTCAAACAAAAACTATCATAATAATTAGTTGATTTTTTTACATACTTGAAATACTGAGAGCATACTTTCCATCCGAGCTAGAATACCGTCGCATTCCTCGATCTGATTATGCAAAGATACAATATTTTCGCTTTCCCTTAAATAGTCTGCAACAGAATTTCTTTCAGCTTCTTTGATCCCTTTATCGATTTGTAGCGCATACTCTCGCAAATCCGTGCCATTCTTTAAAACTTCTTGTATTTCCAAATCTTCAAGATTCTTATCGAGAGTTTCCTTCACAGTTAATGATTTACTCATCTTGGTGAAAGAAAATGGATGGATATCATTTAATAATGACGTAACGTTGGAATGTAAAAATTAATTTATCGGCAGAGTTATTGTAAACAAAAATCAAGAAATCTATAAAAATAATAATCTGTCTGTCTATAGTTATAAAATATGACAGTGCCTGTCATCTGTCACTGTGAACAGATAATGTAATCACTAGCACTACGTTTAATGACTGTGAATGTGAATGTCAGATATATAAAAGATATATAAAATTTCAGATTTAAAAAAAAAATCAGATTTTCAGATATATAAAAGTACTCTCTGGTGAATGTGAAGTGATTGATTGATTGTTAATCTTGGCACTGTCCACTGTTGCCAGGGCAGAACAGAGTTCCGAATGAAAAATTATAGCAGTTTGCTACAAAAATACCGTAAATCATTAGGTGAAAATCACATTTATTCACACTGTCAGTCAACGGTTCATACATGTAAAGAACATTGTTCTTAGACGAACGAACTTCCATTCCATAATTTTATTTCAAATTAAATTGCTACGTCTTTGTGTAAAAAATTTATTATTTAATTCAACGATGGATTATGAACTTCTTTACGCAAGAATTTTGTTTAAAGCAGGCCGAAAATAGGAGATATTCAGTTTTGAACTTTTGTAGGTTATTACTATCACTTCTTTTTGTACCTACTTTTTACGAAACTGCTAGTATTCCACGGACCTACCAAGGGAAAATATTTAATTTGTATTGTGTATAACACTGAATGAAGGTTATACACAATACATATTAATGTGTATAACTAATAGAATTTTTTTTTCAAACATTTCCCTTACTTTAGGATAACATTATCCTGTGTTGCAAGGACGTTTTATAAACATAAATTGCACGAGGACAAACACCCAGATGCGCAACAACTATCTGTGGGTCGCACAAATATTCGTCCCGTGTGGGAATCTAACCCGCGACCCCCGACGCCGAAGCCAATACCTTGGCAACTGCGCCACGGAGTCATCTCGATTGTATTGTAAAGCATCGATATTCGAAAAAATATCAATAAATCGCTATTTTTGATTTTATGTTTCGATAGTTTTAGTCGATATATTTGGATCCGATATATCGATATCGAAAAAATATTTCATATTGAAATCGTATCCAAAACTATATTGCTATCCAACAGGCTCGACTTTGAAGTCGTAGCCCCCGTCGAACATACGCACTTTCCCTACATAGAGGGACACTCATCGGATGTGCTTGATATTGCAGTTGTCAAAAACATCAGTCTCTCCTTATGCGAACCGGAAGTGATACATGAGCTTCACTCTGATCACCGACCAGTTCTTTTTCGGCTAGGGCCCTCAGCAATAGCCGCATCCCAAACCAAAACTGTAAATCAGCTGGCATAAAGTAAAATCCAAATTTAACGAACCCAATCCTCAACTATTAGAGTCAATCCCTAACCAAATTAACAGTAAACATGACACGGAGACCGCAATTCGGGCTCTCACAAGCCACGTCAACACCGTCGTCGAGCAATGCTCGAGACAGGTCCCAGCGATGGATGACCATCGCTGGGCCTTGCCAGATGAAGTGTGACTTGCTGAGACGCAAGAATGCGGCCACACGTGCCTATGATAGATGTCCCATCGACTCGAATCGCAGACTGCTACGTAAATTGCAGCGTGAGGTCAAAACACGCATAGCGGACTCGCGAAAAGCACGGTAGGACTCCACCTTAACGTCAATAAAACCGTCCCACCAAGCCTTTTGAAAACTTCCCAAATCCCTCAAGGGTAACGCCACTTCAACCATGCCACCACTAGTCCGCCCGATAGGCAAACCAGCAATGCTGGACGAAGAGAAAGCCGAATGCCTGGCTGACAGTCTAGAGTCTCAATGCTCCCCTAGTCTGCTTCCGATTGACCCCGAACACCTCCGTAAGGTGAACGAAGAAGTTGAAAGGAAAGCTCTAGAGATACTCCGCGATCCGGTTCCCCCGGTCACGTGCACCGAAATAGTAGACACCATCATAAAACTACGCCCACGCAAAGCACCTGGCTCAGATGGCATCACCAATAAGGTGACCAAACTCCTCCCTACTAGCATCCTTCAGATACTAGTATTAATTTACAACGCGGCTATAACCGAAGGCTTCTTCCCGTCCGAGTGGAGGAAGCTAATGACATAGGGTTCCTCAAACCCTCCAAACCTGCCACTCTTCCAACCTCATATCGTCCAATAAATCTTCTCAAAACATTTGAAGATCTTTGAAATTTTTAATATTGGCCCGCTTAAGATCCCTTATGGACACTAAAGGGCTCCCCATTCCCGAACAGTTTGGATTCAGAGCCAAACATTCATATACCCACCAAGTGCACCGCATCACGGAGCACATTCTAACTAAACGCCAACGCGGCCTCAACACTGGAGCACTCTTCCTAGATGTGGCAAAGGCCTTCGATAAAGTCGGGCACAACGGGTTCGTATACAAGCTATACAGATACGGAGTGCCAGACAGTCTCGTATGCATAATACAAGACTTCCTAAGTAATGGGACCTTTCGCTATCGCGTCGAGGGCGTGTGTTCGACAACGCATCCCGTTCAAGCCGGGGTGCCCCAAGGGTCGGTGTTGGGCCCAGTCCTGTTCACGCTCTGCACCAATGACATGCCACATGTCAAAGCTGTAGAACTTGCCCTTTTTGCTGACGACACCTGTCTCCTTATCACAGCCAGAACGCTAGAACTAATCCATCGACGCCTCCAAGCTGCGGCCATCACCATCGGTGATTGGTTTCGGCATTGGAGGATCGAGATCAATCCCGCCAAAAGCGCGGCCGTTCTTTTCCCACATAAAAATAATGTACCTAACCCACCCCCCGTTAAACTCATGGATAGCCCAGTACCATGGGTAAATAAAGTCAAATACTATCGTCAAATATATCGTCCTCGACTCCCAACTTAAATTCACCCAGCACGTGAGTCAGGTCAGGAACCGGGCGGCCTTCGTACTCGGTCGCCTCTACCCGCTCCTCAACAAAACGTCAAAAATGTCCCTTCGGAACAAGGTGACCCTATACAAGGCAGTAGTTCGCCCTATCATGACGTACGCGAGTCCAGTTTTCGCGCACATTACTCCGAAGCAAATACACCATCTTCAGGTCATTCAGAATCGATTCTTGCGCAGAGCTACGGGAGCACCCTGGTTCATGCGCAGTATCGACCTACATGTCGATCTAGAGTTGCCCACCATCGCTCAATTCGTAAAGTCGGCGTCGCACCGTCACTCCGAATCCGCCGCCGCGCACCTCAACCCGTTAATCGTAGGTGCCGCCACCTACAGACCCTTGCCGCTAGGTACTTTCCGCCGCGATTACCGCAGACCGCGACACGTTCTCGACTTCCCTGACGATGAGACGACTATCGCCATCGAAAGGATTCAAAAACTACGCAAGCACATCGATACACACCGCACTCACCGGCGAGCGCGGCAAACATATATTAGGTTCCGCCCCGTACCTGGCAGGTTCTCCCCAGTCAATGATAGAAGCGTCGCTGGAGTTTCTTCCGCCACTTCTTCTCCCAGTGCCAATGCATTCCCAAGTGGTAGTAATATTAGATGTAGAGTTCTCCCAGTCAGCTGACAGCTACCGATCGAGCCGAGGTCCGGCCCTCTCGGGCACCCTCGAATCGGAATGCTAAACGCGTTTTGAGTAACAGCACAAGCCGAGGTCCCCTCTCGGGGACCCTTGAGCCTAGTCACTCCATTGAGCGTCCTGCCAAACCGGTAATAATAATCGCGTGACAGCCCGAGCCAAGGCTCCCTCGGGAGCCCTCGAGCTTAGTCACCATAACTCGTAATAATAATACGCCGAGGTTCAGGCTAGGCGCCCCGAGCGCCTGGCCACCTCAAGTCCGCCGAAACTGTAAAGGCCCCTAAGGCCAACAGTGGCTCACCAAGCCCAAAAAAAAATATTTTTTTTTTCAGATTAGAATCCGGCACAGTAGAATTTTTAATGGTATTCCTTTTTTTTGGACAACGGGGCAAAAAGAGAAAATATCCATGTATCAATTTTTTCTCTTTAATACATCGATATTTTCTCTTCAATGTATCGAGGTCGATATTGATATTTTTTATTAATATCGATATATCGACATTTCTACACTTTCCCATCCCAAACGTCTGTCAATGTGTCAAAAGCCTAAATTTTTCATTTACTTGCTATTAAACGTAGTGATTACATTCTCCTTGGCTATTACACATCAAGATTTTAGAATGGAAAGGAACTGAATAAAGTACACTGTATAATAAACAAACAAAAAATTAAAAGCTATAGCTTTCTATCCAGACCAACTCGTAGGCTTTAAAGTTATGTTTTAAGAAAGCGATGTAATGATTATATATCTACCGTATCTTTCTTATATATAAAAATGGATTGCTGTTCGTTAGTCTCGCTAAAACTCGAGAACTGGAACTATAAGCGACCGCCGAATTCCGCTTGTTGATTAATTCATTAGAGATTTTTCTCTATCGTTTAAAATTTATTTTAATTGAATTACGCCAGAGTTGAAGTTATTTACATTTGCCCGATGTGGTTTTATTTTGTTTAAGACTACTAGTAACTAAAACATTTAGATCATATTAATTAATATTAGTACTGATTTAATAGAAATGTTTGTTCGAATAAGCTTACTATAATATTACATACTAGCTTTTCTCCCGCGGCACCGCACACATGTATGGGTGCAAATATCAGCCCGCCGCTTTCCCAGGTTCCTGGCTCATTTCCTGTTTAGTAGATCCAGGGGGCGAATCGGTCAATATAACAGTGAAAAAAAATCTGTATATCATGTTATAGCATTTTAATGTACCCAATGCTGGTCGTGGGTCGAGAAAGACCCGCCACGGAAATACCGTTGGGGGTACATTTCGACCCGCCCGCCGCACCTTTGTGCGCGAGTCCGACTCGCACTTGGTCGGTTTTTTTACTTTATATAAACTATCAATCCTCAAATTAAAGCATTAGTGAAAGTTGCACTCCAATCGGTTTAGCCGTTTCTGAGATTAGGACGCATAGACAAACAAAGAATAAATAAAAAAATCATTGTTTTGGGTTGTATTGCGTTGATAAAGGCCCCCAATAATATTTTTGTCAAATATGTTCCGTGTACAGACAACAATCTTTCACATTTTTATCATAGTATAGAAAAAGATTACTTGGTAGAACTGGTCAAAGAATAAATTGGATGATTGGGTCTATTGATTATTTTAATTTTGGACCGTGTTTTACTTTTCAAAGATTTGTTTGGGAATCGACTTAACCTGGCTATAGACCTCTCGCTTTCACCTCAGTCGAATTCACTTTCTGTTTTTCTCACTCTACAGGAGACCGAAGGTCCTAGACATAGTTCTTACGTTATTGCTGGGAACTATTATAGCTTAAGGTTTTGTACAAAGTAGATACCTATCCAACATCTCGCGCCAAAACAATTATAGAGACTAATATGAGCCAATAGCGGAATTCATTGTTCACAACGATACATTTCAATTTACTTTACGAATTTAGTTAAATAGAAGCGTACATTCTGTAAGTTATAATTAAAGCTAACTCTACGTTGTTGTAGATTCATTCTGATCTCTTTTAACTCTGGCAATGCTGCCATTGTTCTACACCAATGACCTGTAAAAGATCGCGTGTATTAATTCCCGTCTATAGGCTCTGGCGTTGGACCTCAATGAAGTGGCATTAATGTCGCCATTTGAAGCCTGTCGGTGCGAAAGGCGCCTGCGTACGAATGTATTTCAACAATTACCTATAATAACAATAACCACCATGACAATGCTTTTCCACGGAATCCATTGCACGTGTCCCGATGCATAGAAGATCTTCCGGAAGAAACTTTAATTAAATAATTATTAACTTAATTTGGCCTTCAAATTAACAATCAAGGATTAAAATAAAACAAATTGTATATTTCAATTGACACATCAGTGTCAGTATAATTGGGACAAAATATTTACAAAGAAAAATGTATAACATGTAACAAAAGCACATCAAACTATGTTGATATAAAAGAAATGCAGTTATAGTCATAAAATTCACGAAACTTAGAGAATACGTTAAGTTTCTAAAGGATCTACATTGAGTTGTTTATGATACAGTTACTGATTGTTCTCTTCTACTCAGCGCCTATCTAATTATGGTCGGAAAGCAAATTTTAAATTTATAAATTGCTTATAATGGCACTTTTCGTCCGCTAGTCGATTGATGGAATGTCTTGTCAAGGATAAAGAGAAGCATAAATTATTTTAAACTGACATGTAGTTAGCTTTGGAAAATCTGTCTACGTTAGATTATTATTAAAGTACGACATGTAAAAATACTGAACTATTTGCAAAGCACAACCGAGCATATTGTGTAGGTAGTTCAACAGTATAATATAGAGGTAACATCTATTATTTGTATAAAGTAGATGAATCTTAATATGAGCTCTCGACTAAAACGCTTCGTGCTACATTTTGTTACCTATCACGATATACGCTGCTGTGTATAAAAGAACAACAAAAAATCAAACCATACAGTAAAAAGAAACTTGAAATAATTTGTATATTATAATTAAAATTATTTAAAATTAACTAATACAATATAAAGGAGTCTTGGCGTCGAGTAAAAAGTTCAGCATTATTAATTATTTATCAAAGTATATATATAAATTTTGTATAAAATTATCACGTATTCGCCTATACATTAACAAATCTACATTCTAGGGAACATTTATTATTTATCACCCGTCAATTTTTTATAGAGAGGTGACAAATATTAGTACATTTAATTTGTAATGTGCGTGCGATATTATCCAATATTTAAGAAATTTATTTACAACTTATAGACATTTTTGAAAAAATTTTTGAAATTTTTCAATTTTTATGATTAGAGAGTATGGATAGTAAATATATTTTATTTTCTTCAATTTGGATATATGTCCTTTAATGTTTTGGTCCTTTTTACCATTTACAGACAAAATATTTTAATGTACTACAATATTTTCGTATAAAACTATTTTGTTGGACACATAAAAAATACACATAATTATACTCACGTGGACCTACTAGGATGTTATACATTATTTATAATCTGTAATTATCTAAATAAATACAGTGATATGTATTTTGGACACCTACTTAAGTTAATAAAACAATTTTCAAGTTAAGAATTATCTTAGCTATCTATCTAAGAAGGTACTCTTTTAAGACACGTAGTTAGAAGGAAAGTTTCTGTATAAACAGAATGCTGAACTTTTTCTCTAGCCGCGTATAAACACTATAACAAATTACATCAATATCCTAACATCGAAAATTATCAATGTAAAATAAATTAAACCTAAAAGGTAACTTCCAACAACTCCTGATTTAACACGGTAATGTCTTCAAGTATACGTAAGGCTCTTGCGGCCCAGCTTGACGTTCGCTGCTTTACTTATCAACAATACCTAATCAACCGTAACATTAATTACTATAAAATTCGGTGTTTACAAGCCAAATTTCTTTTAAATTTGTAAGTCTTGTGACTAGATTTTTCTTATTTAAATAATACACAAGTAAATAACATAGGAATATTTGTACGACGAGATGCCATTGATCACGAACGGTAACTCAAATGCAACTACTATCAAGTAGAATCTTTATAATATAAACATGTACAATAAAACGGAACCACACATAAATAGACATTTATAATAAATTAAGCTTATTTATTAAGTTCCTAAATTTCGTCAAGGGTTATTAAGTCCCAAAAAACTAGACAGTTTATCAAATTAAATCTATCAAAGAAGCACGAACCGATTCCGTCGGAGATCCAATCCTTAAGGTTCAAAACTATCTAGTTTCTAAAAAATATTTTAATCTAAGTAAACACTTATAAAAATAACGGAGTCGGCTCTACAGATAGAAGGAGTTGTTGCATTACAAAGGCGGGGAATGGTCCTCGGGAATTCGGTGAAAGGCCATAGGGCGTAAAGGCTGTAGCCTAGAAGGGAAGGCTGGCGCGGAACATGTTCTCGATGAGCGGCGGCGGCGGCACCAGGTCTTCGAGTTTGAGGTAAAATATGCGCTGTAAGCCTTGGACCGAGAGGGACCGAAGTTCCGGGAGGGCGCCAAGCACGCGGCTGAAGTGGGGGGCGCCCGCCGCGTTGCCACCGCCGCCTGGCATGTGTGCGCGAAGGCAGCCGATTATCTTCATCTGCAGCTGCTCCACTCGGTGAGGCTCTTTTAAACCGTGTCGTTCTGTCAACCAAGAAATATTAAGCTGTAGGGCGGATATTAACGCGACTTCGTAACATAAAGCATCTTAAGAGCTATCATATAAAATAATATTATTGAAGAGAAAACTTTTATGCATAGGCTCGTTCTTTCCTTCCTAAAACCGTGACAGGTTCGCGTCAACAACATGCCAATAATCTCACTTCTTTTTTTATTGACGTTGGTGACGTTAAAATTTTGTTATCATTTAATTTTCATATATTTGATCTCTGTAAAAAATTCTAGTTATTCGAGCATTTTAAACATAAATTTCTATAAAACTTTATAAAACATTTTATTTAAGTAAAGTAACATCCTACAAATGTCCCACTGCTGGGCACAGAGGCTCTGCTGGCTCCTCTGTAAAGAGGGTATCGGGGCGTAGTCCAACCAAGGGGGATTGGACTTCACACTTTCAAAATTATTTTATGTCATTGTTTTGAAAATATGCAGGTTTCCTGACGTAGTTTTAAAGATCTAAGCATACATAGGGACAGACAGATAACGAGACGACTTTCTTTTATACTATGTAGTGATGCACTGCAAAGAGACGTTTACATTTCAAGTGACATTTTACCACAGTCACTCACTTGTTTGGCCTTCCCGGAACCCCTCCACTAACACTTAAACTTTATGGTATGGTATTAAAGTTCAAATTGACTTTTAAGTATTATTACGAATCTTTTGTACGGGAATATAGAAAAGTGTTGTTTGTAGACTTTTTCAGGCAATTTTTTTAATTTTTTTTTCTTTCATATGAACATGCTCCTGATAATAACAAACATACAAAAAAAAGTGAAATCGGTCCAGCCGTTCACGCGTGATGGCGTGACCAAGGGAAATAGGGATTCATTTTTATATCTATAGATTGATTTAAATTGTCAGAAATTAAAAAAATTACTGTCTGTGTGATTTTAATTATTCATAATGTAGGTAATTCATTTAATAATTTAACATTAAAACATTATTAACATTTAAGAAACATTCGAGTTTTAAGTTTTCACTTCTGTCAGTAGTCTCCTTAAGTATTTATTTTGTATAGAAAAAATTATTTTTTTCTTTGCAATCAATGATATTATATTAATTAAAGAAATGAAGTTGCAATACTTGTCGTTAAAAATATTCAAATAAGAGTTTTATGTAATATAATTACTTTAATGATGTGAGTATATAGGAAAGTGTTGGAATATTACTCGTATACGTACCAGTGATCAAAGTAAGCGCACAAAGGCACGCAAAAGTCGAAATGTCGATGTCCATTGTATGTAAGGTGTTGCTGAAATCCAAAACTGCATGTAACCAATCGCCAAATGCTCGCTGGCATTGCCGTTTGTCAAGGACGAGTCCATTGCAGAAGGTGAGCTTAGTGTCCTCGGGACGGGTTCTATATGCCAACCGGAGCACAAACAGTTCCAGACGAGCCGATGCGAATAATTGCTCTCGATCCTCTATACACAGCTCGCCGTATCCAGGTACTTTTTCAGCAAAGACTTTAATCATGTCGATTGAGGTCGTAAGCAGGGAGTAAAATTGCTGAATAACTTCCAAATCAGACAAAGGTGGCTCCATGGGATTAGGTTCTCTATATTGAGAGTAGTCAAGATTGGCAAAATCCGGCGAGGTATCCACATGAGCCCGAACCAGAGCGGTAATCAAAGAGATCGGAGGGCTCGGTGGAGATTCTTGCGGACATTTCGGCTTAGACGGTAATCGACCTCGTCTCCCTTTCAACGAGTCGGTCCGCACGACTTCCTTCACCATTCCAACGGCGAGACATTTCTGGAAACGACAAAACTGACATCTGTTCCTTCTTCTTTTGTCGACTGGGCAAGATTTTTCCGCCAAGCACACATACTTTGATCCCTTTTGAACGGTTCTTTTGAAAAAGCCTTTGCAGCCCTCGCACGTTCGTACGCCGTAGTGTTGGCAAGCTGCGGTATCGCCGCACACTGCACAGAGTTGGCTTGGAGAAGGTGGGGCAGCGCGACCAGCAGGGTTGTCCTGAGGCGCCCCGCCAGGGGAACTAGAAGCGGAGCTAGGAGTTGAAGCCTGCATGCATTGAACTCTACCATGCAGCTTGGGACTATCGTTCGAGCTGCTGGACTCCGACCGTTGTACGGGCAGCGATGACCGTCTTTGTCTTGATCCTTGATCCGTGGTTACGTGCAAATCGATCGAACTAGGGAACGGGGGCAAGGAATAAGAATCCTGATTGGGAGCGACTCCCCCCGTATCGAACGTTGGACTACACGGTTGAGCTGGTGCATAGTACGTTGATGGGACATATGGAAGTGCCGGTTGATGGTACTGGTATAATAGTTGCGTAGAAGTGTGGCCCTGGGAATACGGGCTTACGTTGTAACAATCTTCGTCCATTTTTATTCCGAATTCCGCCATCTCTTGTTTAGGATATCGGACTGAATAAGTCTCCTCGAAACTCGGTAGCGCGGGGCCGAGTGTTGGTGATGGGGTCTCACTCACTGGCGTTGCTCGCTGCGATTTAATCTCAAACGGGATCGGCGCGTGGAATTCAACGTCCGGAAAGGGATCCAAATTCTCTTCTAATATTTCCGTCGAATCTTCTTGGTATTGCGGCGACAAAAGATCAATGAAGGACGAACCGTAGTTGCTCTGCAATGAGAAAACAATACCAGGACATTAGAAAATCAATAATAGAGGCGTAACAACAAAGGTAGGCGGTAATGTTGTATAGGGGCGGCAGCGATGAACCAATGGCGTGCTTATTTATTATCATTCTAATGTTTTTATATTGTATTCATTGTCAACGATATTCTTTTTTTCATATTCATTGTAATAAAAATAAATGGTATTTGACGTAATATTTTGTTTAAAGGTCAAATTTTATTTATCAACATTAACAAACGTAAGCGCCATTTTAAATTTGTTAAACAGCGCAGTCTTTTTACTTCAAGGTGTTACTTACGTGTGTCTGCAGCAGTAGCATGCTGGAGGAGTTCGGCGTAAAGGCGCTTGGCGAGCGCGGCTCAATGGCGCTCGGCCCTGCAATAAATATATTTGAAATTTTTAAATAATTTTCGCCGAATTTGGATTTGGTATATAACAATATAAATTATTACATGTTCACTGTTATTGTAAATTAGACATTGTTTGAACACATCACAATTCTAAAATAATCGAATAGTTACGAAGCATCGAGCGTGAATGCGTGGAAATGCGGTTGGACGTCGTTACAGGTCTAGTAGTTACCGGCGCCGCGCTTTGAACTATCACGCTATACAGTCCATGCATTATTTATATTTACCCTCGGCGAACATACTTTGATTCCTCCTTCTACACAAGAACCCGTAATTGACTAATCAATATACTCTCGCGGCTTTGTCGGTGTAACGCTACCCTTGTACGGCTAACAATGACGACGGCAAAGGGAGGTTTCCAATTTATACGGCAGTTTTGCCCGCTAAATATTGCCGGTTTGAATACATCGTGTCACGGTGCTTGATTCGCCACGCCCCGAAAATTGAATCCCATGTATACACCTCATCTATGTCTATTAAAGAAACACTACATGCAAACACTCAAAGGTTTTTGATTTTGAGTCATAAGCCGTGGGCTTTGGGTTCTAATACGAAGGACGGACAAAGTCGGGTATTTTTGGGGCGAAAAGGCGAACTGTCCCTCGGGAGGTTATGAAATCAGTGGCATTTGCAACTTCTATTATGCCAAGAACCATTAATTTCTGTCTTATTAGACTATAAACAAAACGCTAGAGTTTTTTTGATTCGATAATAAAAAAATGCAAACATATTAAAAGATAGGAATAAATTTTATTCAATTCATAAAAATCATCGAAACATTTGTATCATTTATATCATCTCGAAGTATTTATGATCTATTGTTCTTTATATTTTTTACTTAAATTTACTTTATTTGGCTTTATCTTAAAACTCTAACTCTAACTTTTGTCGACGATTTTTGATGCCTGTTGTTTTAAAGGTTTAAACGTAATACAGTCTTAAATATAGATGTGTTTGTCTGAACGGAATTAAAAAAATCATTTTATCCATTTGTGAAAAGACTGTTCAAAAATAACACTGTATGTAGAAAATATTACAAAAATAAATAATGTGAGTCATGTAGTGTCGATTGGTATATTTCTCAAACAATCGAGTGTTTTACATTTTATATCACCTAATCTAACAATTCCTTAGGCAAAATGGAGATTTGGGCTTAAATTGTTTGATTGTAATTAATTTTTAATCAAGCGTCATAAGTAGAGCTTAGGTGCGCGAAGTTGTCAATATAGATAACTAATTAAAATGATCATATAGCAAGTTAACAATAATAAATACAACAAAAAATATTACTGTAATAAGTGCATTTATAACTAAATAATCTTCTAGGCCTTCATTGCCGCATGATAAGTTCGCTTGCTAGAAGAGTTTGCTTGAACAACGCTACCGCTTTTCGTAAGCTCGCATTACATCGCACAAGTGTGTACATTGTATTTATTTTGAGTAAACCCTAGTATAATATGAAGTTTATATAAATAAAGTAATTTTTTTAAAGAAATATTTATTATTTTAAATTTATTGTAAAAAAAAATTATATTTGTGAGAAGGTGGCAAACGAGCTGGCGCGTCACCTGATGTTATATTATAGCGATAACATAATTTGCAACACCCTTAGGGATGCGTTGCCATATTTTAATAAAGTGGGCCGAAACGCAGAAGTATTAAACTTCTACTTCATGCCGGCCTTCTTTGAGGTCGCGGTACTTCCCCGGACGGACCTACCGATTCGTGCAACAGCGAAGACCAGAAAGGCCCTACCACAGCGAAAAGTCTTGTATAGTATACTAGCGACCCACTCCGGCTTTGCACGGGTGCAATATCGATATTAAATCATGGCTTTTCTTATTTATGTACACTACATATAGACATTCCGCTTGAATCATTTTATATATTGCTAAAAACTGCATTAAAATCCGTTGCGTAGTTTAAAGGATTAAAGTGTACAAATATTGGGAGCGACTTGTTTTATACTATGAATATACGACATAAATTGCGTATGGACGAAAACCCTAGTTAATTTGTGTTATAATTAATCATCAGCTAGATAGTTAAAAAGTAAGATGCAACAAATCGTACAGTTTTGATGTCTATAGCAACAAAGATTTAAAAAAAAATTATGTTGTTAACAATACTTTTACGGATTATTGTGAATTTCAACTGCTTTCCAGATTGAAAATCTCAGCCAAATACAGCAAATACTCAGAACAAGTAAATGAGACTTGGTACATGTGAAAAATGATAAATTTGATAGACTGGATAAATTGGATAAATTTAAAGATCATTGGTGACATACATGACCCATCTCCTTTAGTAAAAATAGTTTAAAAAAAACTAAAAAATATATAAATTATGAATAGTTTTTTATTTGTAGGAAAGCGCGGGGTGCTTGGGAGTTAATTATTATAATATTTTAGAGAGAGTATGTACAGTATACTGCTATAAGTAGAGTCATAATGGAAAAAAAAGCTTAAAAACTCCCCTCGTTCGATGCAAATCTGATCGTTAAAAGTGGGGCAAAATCAAGTTTAATGAAACAATACAACAATAACAACAACAATACAAGTGATACTAATAATCATAAGCGTGTCAATAAGAAAATAAAAATGAAAATATATAAGAAAAACTTGTAAAATATTTTTTTATGCAAATTGGATCGCAGTGACATCTGCTTTCTTGTAAGGGCGCGACTTAATTTTGGGTTAATAATTTATGTGCCTCAAACAAAAGGCATGACCAGGTATAAGTAAATAGTGACATCTGTGTGCACAACCCACCTACTGGGTTCGTGTAGTGTTCACGCCCTTTTGTAGAACTGCTGAACGATGTTTATGGCGAAATATAGATGGCGCGAATGATAAATACAGGCGAATTATTGATTAACCAACCCCAACCATCCAGTGACGTACTTCGTATCACGTTCCATTATAATGTTGACATCGAAAGCTCGCGTGTTTGAGTGACGACTACGATCTGTCACGCTACCGCTTTTCATTATCTCGCGGACATATTTTGAATATTTGAACTTTAAACACACGTGGCGTGATTATTCTAAAGAAGTTTTTTTTATGTATGAAGTGTTTCTTTTCCTTTTTTTTTAATGTGTTATTTATAATATGGCTACTGTTATGCGAATTTGAGCAGTTGTTGTTCATTAGACTTCACGTGTATACTTGTCACTGCCTTGTCTGTTGTATGGTGACAATCTCGTCACGTATCTGACTAAATAAAGTTCGGAAAACCAGTGACAGCATTAGCTATGTCCGTCTAACCCGTAAGGCTTAAAAATACGAAGCCTTCTTAAATATTAATAAAAAAATCTAAATGAACTAACATTCCCAAACTTAAGTTTCACAAGCTTCAACAAGTTCAAAGAAGAACAAGAAGTAATGTAATAATTTTGTTTAAATATCCCTTTACAGACTTTTATAACGTCTTCTCTAAAAGCGTATGTACAAAATATAACATGTGATGTTATAACGTCACAGTGCTTTCATCTTTGAAGTTTTGCGTCAAATAGAGCATAATTTGCGTGCTCTATCAGTCTAATATATCGCTACAGGCTATCAGCTGTGTCCGCGATAGGGCTTGCTGATGCGAGAGGGTGTGATCGTGACGTCATCCATTCTGACGTTTGCTCTTAAATTGCCACTGCGGATAGACCTACGTAAGTTTGACGTGTTGAAAAATTAGATAATGTAGTTTTCTTTTTCATTGCATGGAGATGACAACATAATTTGGACCGGACTTGTCACAAACGAAGTGATCCTTATCCTTACCAATATTATAAAAGCACAAGTTTGTATGTATGCATATTTGTTATCCTTTCACGCAAAAACTACTGAATGGATTTCAACGAAACTTTACAACAATATAGCTTATACATCAGAATAACACATATAATTTAAAAAGTTAATAAATGTCTATCTGTTACGCCTTCACGACTAAACCGCAGATTGAATTTTGATGAATTTTTGTTTAAAGATTGATATGACCTTGGCGAAGAAAATAAGCTACTCGAAGTCCTAATCGTGCCAAAGTCAAGGCACGGTTGATATGGTGTAAATTTAGTAAACGTATATCTCAGTAATATGCTCGGAAGACCTAAGTTCAAATCCTGGTGCTCGTAGCAATTGCTAATTGCAGTTTTAAATGTTCAGCGGTGAAGGAAAACATCGTGGCAGGGTAAATGTTTCATAATTTTCTTGACAGTCAAAAATGTTTGGTTTGCGACGTAGGTGCTATTGGAAAATAAGTGGTAATAGCCGCTCATGGAAATTTGCAACACCCCCAAACTGTGGCGTGGCCCTGCCATACTTAAAATATTTAACTAAGGTTTTTAATTTTCAAAAGGGGGTAGTGTCCACATCGGTTGAAATCGAAAAATGGTGTATTTCTAAGTGACAGTACTGATATTAAAGTCACTACTATTACTTAGAAATATACCCAATAACGTAGAATAACGTCTACGTTGCTGGGATTCAAAGGCACAACCGCAGGCAGCCGCCAGCGGGCAGACGGTCCACCTGATGTTAAGTTATTATCGTCACCAATTGGCATTTAAAACATCTGACTGCAAATGCGTTGCTATATTTTATAAAAGTTGGCCCGGTTACCTCAGAGACGAAACGCGAAAGTATAATACTTCCACTTCGCGCCGATCTTCAGTAAGACCGTGGTACTTCCTAGCCTACCCATTCATTAACAGCAGAAGCTGTACTAGCTAAGTGGCACTAGCATACTAAAAATATGTATAAGTGTATGTTTTTATTTGAAGATATATAATATTACAATAACTCACTGCCAATAAAGAAGTCTTTTTATTCATATGTGTTGTTTCTTTAAAATCTTTTGTTATATTCTGTAAGTTTTTTTTATTTGTTAAAGCTAGGTTTTGACGCACGGCGTGACAACTTGCTTCCGAGAGGTCAATTTAAAAAAAATCTATTTTTTCTACGATTCTTATACTTCGGGTCGTACTCAATATGGAACCCCTATCATTGTAAGTAAAAGTGTAAATTTTTTGGTCGCTTTGCTTACGTTACTTTTTTACTTGACGTTAAGTACATTTAAGCAAGCAAGCGAAAAGTAACATTTTCCTTACAAAAAAGAACTGAACTAAGAACGCCCGATAAATAAGGTTAATAAGGCTTGATCATCAAGTGCATGATCGTACACACATATTAGGTAGAGAAAAATATTAAACATTAGTAAATGACCAAGACAGATATTTTTATAATGCTTCAACTAAATGACCTTGGCGCCTAACTGCTGCCTTGTGTAGGTATTAAACAACAATATATAACTAGGTAGTTATATGTATTGGAATAAATTTGAATTAATTCCACCAAAATTGCGTCAGAGATATTTCTTGCTTGCAAATTTAGTAAAAGTTTCTTAACGACCTTAATGATTTTCGTAAGCTTGTTGGTCTAATAAAATCTACTTAAATTATCGCACTAACACATTAATGGCATGAGTAAAAATAAATCTGCACCTTTGCCATCCTTTTTATCCAAAGCTACGATTTACTAGGTGGTTTCGAAGATATTATGTGAAAAGTAGTGAAAATAAACTATATAATTTATTTATTTTATTACATTTCGGTGAAGTTAAAAATTAAATCTTAGGGAATTTTTGTAAAAAAAAACTTATGTTTTATATTCACAGCTTACCAATTCAAAGTAAAGATACGTGGAAAGGAAAATCATTCGTCTAAGTCTAAGCAAACAAATTTTTTTCAATTTCGTATCTAGACTCGTTCTTCAAAAGTCAGTTTTTGTAACTATCAGGACTAGCGGTCATCATTTATGTATTTAAGTAGTTCTCGGTATATAAGCACGCAGCCTCTAGGAATTCTGTCTTCAAACACAAGAATAAATATTTGATGCTGTCAATAGTGTCGATTCAAAACAGGCGTATCATTGTGAAATCGAATTTTGTAATATGCATGAATAATTAATTTTATATCCATTGTTTTTCTAGCTTTCGATAGTAGTGAAGTATATTTTATATCTTGATAATGTGCGATTGAAATTTATTAGGGTATTAAAATGAATGAGATATTCCATAGAACGAACTCCAAAGTGCATAAAATGTTATTGATTTACAAAGTAAACTGGTGGGTGCGTGCTTGACACACATGTTTAGATAGATCGGTAAAAATGACAAAAGAGGAAAATGGTCAACTAATAGGGAAAATTCAATTTATCGTTTGTGAAGAAAATTTAATAAAGTTTTGTGACAGTATTGTTATCTAGCTATAAACAAAGTTTCAGACCTAAAAGTCAACGTGTGGTCATTTAGATGTTTTTAATGGATTTATGCGGAAAATTCTCGATTGAATTTGGGTAATGGCAAAGGAAACCTGTTAGTTTATCGCTTGGATGTGAATAACAAGTTGTTGCGGCGACTTTCTGCGTTCCGTGTGGCGACAAAGTAAAGTTTCAAGGAAGTTGGTGGGCAGCGGGCGAGCAAACGCGTCCTTGAAGCGGAGCGCGGATCGATGGATGACGTACGCGGCGCGTGACGTCACGGGCGGCGTTCGATGAGAGCGAGGTTGCAGGCAGGCGCTGCCTGTCTCCATGCCACCCCCTATTGCCGTTATTCCTCACCACCCGCATATTTTTAGACCTAGTGACGTAACTGCGCCACGGATGGCGAATGAGCAGTGATAAAATGAATGGCCAAAAATGCTTCTCACTTTGTCAGCTGCTTTAACGTCGAATTAAATACTTGTCGGTTTATTTTTATGGCAACGTGCTTAAAGCTAATGGGCTTTTTTATCAGATTATATAAAATGGTGTTATAAACACAGTCTTGCCCGGTTATGCAAGTTGATTTATAGATATAAGAGATGAGGTCTTGACTAAAGATGTTCTTAGAATTTACAGGTAGACGGCTTTTTTTAGAAAGGCAATCGATACTAATGGCCTGCGAAAATGGGCGTATTACTAGCAGCGTCACCATTTAGGTATTCTATTTTAAGCCAACAATATTGCCAATATCCAGGGTTAACGTGACATTTAAATATATATTTTATTTATTTATAAATACTGAGAAAAATTGGTTGTACGCGACAAAGCTCCTCCCTACGTGTAAAAGTGACGCAGTTTGGTTCGCCAAGTTCTTCAGGCGTGACGTCATTCCAGCTGGCGGCTGATAGCGTGCTTTATCACTACGTACTTTTTAAATACAAAACGTACTCCATAAGCGATTTCTGTCCGATTTGTTAGTACCAGTACCTATTACAAGTGCCTCGATAGGAGACCGATATTTTTTTGCGCTATACGCATACAGATTAGCATTTCGGCTTAATTTGTCTATTTTTTTAATTATGCACATTGTCTTGTTTTGTTTCATTTTGTTTCTAAAACTATTGTCTGTACTTGTTATTTTTTATCTATTATTAATAATAGAAGATGGTGGAAAGTGAAAGTCACTATCATTTTTAATGTGATGGAAAATCAAGTAAGATAATATCATCTGATAGTATTCACTCACACAGAGATGCACCTTGTTGCAGTTTTATACGAGTACAAACTAACGACACATTATCTTTTTAAACTGTTTAACTATCTATGCGTAAAGTCTGCCTAGTACTACATATGTTTAAATATAGTGATATATATTTTCATGCATATGCATGAAAATACAATTCACTTAATGGCTTCTTAAAATTAGCGCCAAAGTCCCAGTCCTGTGAATGTGCCTTTGCCACGGCACCCGCATCTTTTCGCCTTATTATTTTTTTTAATTTAAAAGCGGACGTGAACTATGTTTATGAACGCCACGATTTAGTACACGGAGAGTGGTAATTTGCACAGGCTCGCATCTCGACAGGTGCAACGTCTGCCGGTTGCGACAGCCGATTGGGCAAGTTGGAAGGCGGCTCGGCTGAGGCCATCGGCTTCTGAGGCGATCGCGACATAAACATCCCATATTATAGTAGTGTTACCTAACTCGCCCCGAGCGAAACAAAAACGGAGTCAACCTAGACGCGCGTACGGAGCCTATTTCGAAAATGCTTAATTAAAGTCTGTTTCATCTTACAATGTGCTCGAGTACCGTTTCATCATTGAAGTTGGTCGATTGTATGATTTTTTTATCTTTACTGTAGGGACAATAAACGATTGGACGCACCGCTATCTATTGGAGATGACGAGGTTTCGGCTTTACGTGCTTGAGTCAACCAGGTCAGTTGTAGTTTTGCAAATATAGAAGGTTTTACTCACAAGTTTATGGGATTGTTTTTTGGAAAATATTTTGAGTAATGTAAAATTGCTGTTTCTTTATGTTTATTTTACCTTTAAAACGACAATCCGAATCTCAATTGCTCTTATCTCTTCTGGCAAGTCGATGAAATATCCTCTCATAACTTTAATTGTTGATAATGATTTGAGCAAGGGAAAACAGTAGCGTTAAAGAAGGTAATTCATGCGAAATAGAGAGACGGCGTGTGTCATCTCACCCGGTCAGAATCGTGTCGAAATAAGTTGCACCATTCATTTTTTATCCCGCAATTTACCCATATTTGCACAGTTATTCGTAGTTTGCATCAGTAAAAGTATAATGCGACACCGAAACTTTTCTCTTACGGTTCCGACCGCGCGTTTAGCGCTTTTTGGTGTTAATTAATAATGCGGATGTTTATTTACACCGGGACAAGGCGGTGTTTCGCGGCAAACGCTGTCAATTTTTTTAGTTACATTCCTGTATCCGAAACATTGATTGTGGCTGTATTCTTTTAGAATGTTTGACCGTATAATATGTTTTAATTTTTAAAACAGTATAGTAAAAGTTATTGTGTCTTTTTGTTTAACGCAGCTGTATTTAATCGTTAATTGCAAGTGGAAAACATAAAACAAAGAAATTACAAAATATAAGATAAAATAAAATATGTAGGAAAATATGAGACGAACATTGACCATTTTTTGAATATTAAGTAAATATGCTTGATGACTGTTAAGTAAACATCATTATCATCATCATTACAGCCTGTTTGTGTCCACTGCTGAACATAGGCCTTCCCAAAAGTGGACTATATAAAATACTAAATAAAAAACTATGGCAAAAGACCCTCATGTCCAAGTCATGCTTTGTTATAATTATCGAAAAGAATTGTCCCAGTTTAATATTAAATTGTAAATTGTAAATATTCATAGTAAATTGAATACGTATCTTTTTATGACCATGGCGGAAAGTCATGAAAAACCATTTATACAAAGTTCATCACTTTACAAGTTGTCGGTATATTAAAATTTATGAATTAATTTAATTTGTATTGTTGCAGTTTTGTCTCATATTTGAATAAAAATAAAAGATAAGAAATTAAACCATGATTGTGCATGTTAAAAAAAAAGATGTAAAAATAACTTAAAATTAAAATAATAAAATAAACAGAAAGGGGTTACATACGTGTGTGTTTGAATTGTTTAAGGCCGCAGTGTTTGCTGGAGGGCGTCAGCAACGCACCTCGCATTCTAGCCGATGGCCATCGTCACGACAGTTTCACACAGAGTCTACAACATCCGGAGGTTCTACACAGCGAAAGCGAAAATAAACACAAAATTGGAGGGTTGCGAGACGTCGTTCGGGCGCTGACCTGGCGCGGGTTTGTCGGGGTCCAGAGAGGCGGCGCGCGGCTCCAGGGTCAGGTCGAGGCACCCGCCAGACAGTCCCAGTTCGCTCAGCAGGATCCTCATACGGCCTAGCACATTCCACTCACTGCACGCGCACACACTCACTCGGCCAGTCAGTTGTGGTTCGCGGGAAGGCGCGCGGAAGTACGCGCTGGTGAACGGTCGGTGCGATACTGAGGCCGCCGCCGCCGAGGCTGGCGGCTATATCGCGCCGTCTGACGTCACGGCTGCGACGTCACGCCGGCAACGTCACTAACGGTACCTCCCACGGTCCGCCCGCCTCCTCGCCGCCTCGCCGCCCGCCCGAGCCTGCATTAACGGCATCGCTAGTACGCGGAGCTTTCATACGCCCGCGCTGCCTTCGCTGCCCACGTTGTCTAATCTTGCGTCCCCAGCTCACGCACGCCACAGGCTGGCTGCTATTTGTTTCTTGTTTTTAAAGTTGCCATTTTAGAATTTTCTTTTAATGATAACGGTCACATCTAAATATACAGAGAAATCTTAATTTTGATTGTGTATTTCAAATAAACGAAATTTCTCAACATGAAAATGCATAGATTTTCAAGTTGATAAATTGGATTTATTTTTGGACTTTTAAAGAGAAAATAATAAAGTAACATCAATTTTGAGTTCGTTACATTTTTTATTTGTGTTGGCTGTACATTCTTTTGATCAGCAATAAAACTCCAATATCGTCGCTGAGAACAAACCTAATAGCCCATTTGGTTATTTGAGGCAGATAGTTAATTCCGTTTCTAGGCTCAGTCACGAATGCAGTAACCTATTCTTAATGAGAGATACAGAAAAAAGATTAGTTATGTAAAGAAACTAGCACAATCAGAGTTTATTTTTCTTAACTATGTATAAACCACAGAGTAAATCAAAACATATTTACGCCAATGTAGCAAATTACTTGAAGCTTTTGTAGAAATTTTAATAATACTTGAAGATTAATATTACTTGAAGCAGCAATTAAATACATTTTTGTTTGAGTTTCGAAGCTTTTGATATCTTGCGAAAATTTCTGAAATTTCCTCCAGTGGTAATTAGGTGTCATTATATGTAATTGGCGTTATTACTAAATACAAGTTGTACTTACGACTGGGAATGTTTTTCTTCGTACCGAGACACTTTATTGGGGTGAATTAAAATATTTCTGCAATAAAACATTAAGACGAGTCTCAAATAGGGCAACCACATTTCCAAACAACCGTAAAAAGAAGGAAATTAAGATTAACGGTTTACCTATTATTTATAAAACTATCTAAGTTGTTTAAAAGAATGGTGTTAACGGTAAGTTACATAAAGTGCTATTCATATGGATTGGAATACCTTGATATATCTTAGCACTTATGATATGGGTTAAGACATATTAGACATATTTTCCCGTGTTTCGCTTAGGGGTGGACAATTTATTTTTAAAATTCGACTTGAGAAAAACGTGCAGACAGCGCATTTAATCGCAAGTGAATTTCACCTGATGTTAATTAATAAATCGACGGTTTATCACTTAACTACAGGTGAACCGCCAGCTCGTCTGCCACTTTCTCACATAAAAAAAAACTACTCGGAGGTGTAGTAGCGGAGTTTAAAAATGCGTTAAAACAGTTTTTTGTCCATTAAAGTGAAATTGGAACGTTTTCACGGCAAGTTATGGAGAGTGCTGAGATTCCGAAGCGATTAGAACGCGCGGTCGGGTGCAATTAGGCCTGGTTCGGGGATCGGAGACGAATGCAGCGGTGACGTGGCGTCGCGGCGTCCATCGCGAGCCGCGTCTCATCCCGTGCTCCCATTCGGCGCAGACCGCCGCTCTTCCGCATTGTGCGTGCGCTTCGTCACATGCGGATATCTTAAGGGCTGCGATTTATTCTACTATATTATTTACTCGAAGTAGTATGGTGTGATAGACGGAAATTCATCGATTTTTGGTAATGCTCATATGTCAGCTGTCACTTTTGCCGCCCTATAGCGTTCTTATATGCGTATATTGATATAATCAGCTTAAACTTTTAAACGTTCTTATAGAAAATATAGCTACTATATAAATAAGTAACTACGAAAATAAGAACGTTCAAAAAGTTACTCGATTTAAATTAGCTAGTACGGTTGGGACCAAGGCGTTGGAACGTCAATAGCGATTTGAGGTCGCAGTTTCGATTTCCAATAATAAGGTAATAAGGTACAGATACTCAGATTTGTTCAGTAAAATTCATTTGATCTCAAATTTGTCTCTGTGTACAAATCTACAGCAACAATTCAACATCTATAAAAGTTAAGTGCAATGATCTAATAGTTCATTTAAATTTTAAATAATTAAAGAAACCTCTCAGAAACAAGCTTCATGTCAGAAGAACTTAAATTAATTTTTCTTTATCTTTTATATTGTTAAAATTTGTAGAGTAGTTAGTAGGTAGTTTTATATTGTATCCGAGGTTTTCTTTTAATTTTAAAGATGTAGAGCAACGAAGTAAATAATTGATATAAAAAATGTATTAAGTTCAATGTTATATCGTAGGTAGATGCGATTTAAAATTACATTAATTACTTTCTTAATTTTACTTTACAGACGCGGGATTAGTTTTATAAATTAAATATATAGTTTTATTATTACTTCTTTATTATTTGTAAATACATAAGCAACTTTTAAGTCTATGAAATATCCAGAACTAATAAAAAGTCCGTTAAACGTGAGCAAGATTGCTTGCAGACTTAGTAAAGAACAAAAACAAGCATCGTCGGCAAGAAACAACATATATTCAATTATAAATAAGCAAATAAGTATATTTAAAAGAGTGTATGAAGAGTATAAACAAAAAGCTCAAAATAACGTTACTCTGACTGATAATTAAACATCACAGATGTACCAAATATTCCATAGTAGTAAATTGTAGCAACGTGAAGTGATACGTTGCGGCTGCTTTTTATCTGTATGTCATTTTCTTATGAAAATGAATAATATATGGCTTTTATTAGCTATTTCGAACAGCATATTTATTAAACTATAATAATTGTTAATGGTTCTTAAGTATAATTGCTCTAAATTCGTTATTTAATATATTGCCATATGCAAAATTCCATATTAATATGTATCCTATGTAATATGAATTTTACAATTGTTAATGAAATTTATGGAAGCGGCATCATTAAATCAATTTTACGTAAAGTATATAAATATTTCTCAATTTATTTTATAGGTGATAAATTATTGTTATTTAAATGAATGGCTCTCTATGTTACTTCGTGTTCAGTAGTGTCAGGGCTAACTGTTTCATAACATTAACATACGATAATTATTAAGCAAAAATTTCAAAATAAAGCTTTTTAATCCAACTAGAGGAGAGGTCTTTCGCGGTGTGTCCGCATTCAGCACGGTGCATGTATTTGTGGCTGTTACGATTGGTCGCATGCCCTAGTACTATTTGTTGCTCGCAGAGCGGGCAAACGTCCAGTTATTCTAATTTTACTTATAATCGATGCCGTCGCCGCTACCGACTCACCGACAAAAGACTTGCTCATCCGTCAAAGGTCCAAAGTGGTACGTGTGGAACTCCCTATTACATTACCTCAACATTTGACACTGTTGTAAAATATATCGGCTGTTAATTCTGTAACAAATATTGGAAACAAATTTATAAACGACGAGACGTTAGTTAGAAATAACGTTAAACTCGTTCTTATAGACTTTTCTCTAAATATACCATATTAATTAAATTAGTGCAGTCATCAGTTGTTGAATAGATTAGAAATCTTTTTGCAAAAATCCGTGAATGCTCATTCCGTTATTGATAATTACCTTGCGATAGTTTAGATAAACTTTAAAAGGGGATTCGGTAAGACTTTTACCAGGAAAAAGTATTAATGTAAATGCGATGGAATGATGACTATATTTATTTCATAAAAAGCTCCAGAGAAATATTCCATATTGATTTTGTGAAATTGGAAACTAAATTTGTATGGATGGAGATTGATTTCTATATATATGTTTCCTAAGAACATCTAGATTGATAGCTGCCAGTCTCTTGTACTATACAGTTTCAGCTACTCCCGAAAAGTTAAACGTCAAAAATCTAAACCTTGGTTGGGCTTTATAGTTTTTGTTCAGCTTGGAGAAATTATTTAGCAAGTAAAAATAAACGTGTGTAACGACACCCACGTAGAAGGTTATACTTCTTTAGTGTAACGAAAATAAAACGCAAATAAGAAGTTATACTTCTTTAGTGTAACAAAAACAAAAACGACTAAAAATTTTATACCCTGTACCAGTACTCTTTGTTTGTGATTAAGGCATTAAATGTAATTGATGGCAGTTTTATTAAATAACTTGGAATAATAAGTAAATAACAAAAATGCTGTTATTTTGGTTGTCATAATAATACCGTGAAATTAGTCGAAGTTGTTCACTTTGCAACCAGTTTCATCATGTTACTTTTTGCCTGTCGGTGTAGGCGCGCGCATCGTAAAAATTTTGCTTTCATAATTTTTTCCAAATGCACAAAAGAAGTATAACTTCAAAGATATTAGGATACTGAGCCATACTATTAGCCTCCATTTATTTTTCGACCGATGTAATAAATAAATAAATTGATGATGAAAATGATAACGATATGGCTTGATTACGTCGGTTTTACCTGGGTAATACTTCAAGAATTACTTTTCAGTTGAAGGTTTGGATAGTAATCAATTCTTATTTTATACTAAATGCCAAATATAACACAGATACTTATTTTTATATATAAAAATCAATTTTAAAAAGACTCCTTCCGATGTAAGTAAAAATGCGAACAATAATACATTTATGTTAACAGTGAGATTAGGGTGATAACAGATTTAATATATCAGCTGCAAACGCAGCCCGCGGGTCGCGTCATCTATATTTAATACGCACCCATCGATAAGTGTGTAGCCACGCGCGAATGTGTGCGCTGGCTGATATTCGAGTGAACGCAGCGGCATCAGCGGCTCGCGAGAGAATTATAACGTGAACGCGGCTAGCTTGTTTGGATGCCGTCAGCGCATACATTTCAACGTTGTGTGCGATTGTAAATTGTACTAATTGGGCATGGCGGTCCATTCTGACAAAACAGTGGTTTCATCAATAACTACCCTAGTGGCCATATTATACAACGTCCGCACAATCGTCCAGTGAAGTGTAAAGTCGGGTTGAGATACACGGCACATGCAAAACTATCGTCTAACATTGAGTGCATTATGCACATTGCAACGTGTGCGTGTGTGAAGTGTTCACAAATAGTCGGTGCGAAAGGAGTTCGACGCAATGATATCTATTGTAAGTATACATTATTCTAATTAATACGTTGAGAGCAGTCTATACTGATATTTTGAGGTTATGTTTTATATAAACTCAAATAAAAGCAGTTTTGACAGCGAGTAATGACTTGTATGTTTAGTTTAAGACGTACAAGTTAACTAAATACTTTTATTTACTTCACGGACCTTGCTATTATGCATTATATTGACAAAGGTTAAAATAACAAAGTATAAATATTTTTGGCGGACTACCAAAGACTACGACCCAAGTGTGTAGTTTCATTTATTAGTCCGTAATTTAGGATTGGACTGAATACTTAAAAGATTGATATCATGCAGACAAGAGTAACGATAAAAGTATGCCATCTCGGCATTGAAAATAATTGTGTATAGTGAACTACTTTTTGTTGCTCACGATCTTCGTTAAACATTTTACTATTTGTATTTTATATTGTTTCGTTAATGAATTTATTTCAATCTAATAACCGTACCTTTACTTCTGTCGAATATACAGATTAAAATAAATTATTAATAATAATCGTAAATTTTAAATACCAAAGAAGATAATATTTCTTTACAAAATGAATAAAGGAACATTCAGGTACTCTTTCTCTTACTAATCGCACTGTAATATGTAAATCGTCCGAAACAGTTTTGTATCTTATCATAAATTGTTACGTAGATAAGTACACATAAGTATTATTTATCGTTAAGATGGGGATTAGGTACACACTTGACTGAGATTTAAGTGGTCTCATCGTTGGCAAAATTCCTCAAAATATTATATCATATACTTATATCATCTTGAGATTTTCGGCATTGAACAAAATTTAACTATAGCATTGTTTATGTAAATGCGTTATATGTAATCTGTTAAGGTTTTATGATGATGCTAACCTGTAGCGGTGGAACATATTTATTTAGTCGAGCACGCGTTAAAAAACATAACAGTAATAAGAACCATTTATTATTTAGGTATTTATTTATTAAGGCTTATTCTAGATGGAACAACGAGACTTCGCAATACTCTTTCGAATTATTTGCATAAGCATTTGCCGACGGTGTCCGCCCGGTACCATACCGGAGCGGTATTGCGTAATCGTATAAAACTGACGGTCTAACGAGCACTTTGATACAAAATGTATATTTGTTCCCATGGATGTTACTTCAACTTTCACTGTAACAGCATTTTGAACACAAATCTTAGTACTATTGGAATATATTTATTATTACTTAACTACTCTTTCTTTATCACAGCTTAGAAATGTCAGGAGATGATCGTAGATTTTTTTGTTAAAAAAAAATACAATTATGAACTTTTACAAAAAAAATAGGCGAATATTAACATGATTTTTTTAACTATATTACTGGCTAGTTAAGGTTTTGAAATATTCTCATACGATTTTTATTTTTTTTACTATTCTTGCTTTAAAATATGTAGAAAATTATTTAGTATTCTTGCTTTTGTTTTCAGTCGCAGAACTCATGAGATAGTCAGATTCGACGAACCTGATACGGCCCTCTGCGTTGGGTAGGGCTGCGATATTATTATTATCAACGATTGTTATTAGGAGCATATGCTTGGTCTCATTGCTAGGCAAAGACCTCATCCTGTCCTTTTTATTCATTTTCCATTCTTTATTCGGTGGTGCGATGGTGTAAATTCTTTCACCACATTTTGAATACGAGTAGTTCGGCGCCCGCCACGGCGTCGTTCGGCTTCTTTGTAAAGCCGTTTAATGGATAATCTGGTGATGCAGTAAGCCCGATGCGATTTAGAGCGCATCTTTAAAGCCTACATTGTATTTGTCTGGAAACGCAGTATGTTCTTTATTCGGTCAGCAGTCGTGATTCTGCGTATACTAAGCTCATTCTTGCTACACCTGTCTATGGTCTGAATACGGTACCGGCAACCGAACACCTCAGGAACTCCACCGTTACTCCGTCCGTGAGCACGACAGGAGAGAGCACATGCCCATGACTAATCACTGCAATGTAAAAAAGTAGCCTTTCATGGGCTCTCCTCCATGGTATGTTCTACCATCGCGCTGTGCTGTTTCTTTTTGTATTTCCTATTAAATGAAAATGAGTAGCGAGTCGCGAAGTCAGTCTGACAATGAACTTTAAACGCCAAAAAAAAAAAACAGAGTCTTCATAGGGGGTGAGAAGATATGTCTGGAATTAGAGATTATATCGATGGATACTTCTCCTTCTGTACGGTACTACTGTTAAATCAAAACACTACAATATTCGCCCTTATACTTTAAAGTAATGTTTTAATGAAAAGCGGCATATCCTTACTAATATTATAAATGAGAAAGTTTGTATGTATAGATGGATGTTTTTTACTCTTGCATACAAATAATACTATTGAATGGATTTTAATGAAACAAAGCTTATACATCAGAATAAGACATAGGCTATAATTTATAAAAATATTTTATGTATATATGTCTTTCTGTCTGAATATTACGTCTTCAGCCTATTCTACGCAGACGTAGTCGCGGGCAGAAGCTAGTAATAAGATAAGTATGTTAATATAGCTTAGTATGAATTACACGTAAGTCTCGTGGGTTCTGGCCCGTGGGTTCTGGCTAGCCCACCGGTTCTGCGTCCGATGAAGCTTTAATAGTCTCGGGACTGAAAGCAAAAAAATCAGTTAATACAAGATACACGTAAGTTACGGCCGCTCGGCCAAAACTTCCAATTTCAAGGTAAACTACGAATCGGCCCGCCACACAGTAGCTCGGCGCATCTTTAAAAACTAGATGTTTGAATGTTACGTTTTTATGTTTGAACTTTATTAATCTTTAGATAGCCGCCTGACCTATGTATTTGTTACAAATAGTACTAGTGGGTCTCACGCATGAGCTACCGACCCGTGTTAAATTGAAAGGCCGTCTACTCCTGTACAATAATTAGTCGAGCGCCACTGCTTCTATCGAATATTATTATTAACATCATAAGGAGTATCGATCATCCGTGCCCCACTGCTCCCCGCACTTGCTACGTCATCATTTGCCTCGTGTCTGTGGAATGGTGACGTCATGGATTCATGACGAAATAAAACGTCACGGTTCTCCGCGCATGCGTGCTGTTTCTAGAAACTTTCGTCTAAATTTAGATTATTGCCTTATACTGGACGTAAACGTAATACATGCTTACATACTTGAATGACAGCTTCGATGTGTTAGCATGTTATCAGTTTTTTTTCTGTAAGTAACTCATTATTGGCATACAATTATCCTTTCAGAGATAGTTATTCTGTTTATCAAAATCACAGATTCGCCAATATAATAACTGTATATTTAAAACATGATGTTTGATATGTCTGGATAATTTGCAGTGGAAGACAATGGTTTGTTCAAATAAAATCAAATCATTTATTCATCGAAATAAGAAATATCCATTGATAGTCATTTTTTAAATCTACCACCGTTTCGTAATGAGGTTCCTCTAACGAAGAAGAAACAGGCGAAAGAAACTCTATAGGCATCCTCTTTTTTGTTTTTATTCTCTCAAGCAATTACACTGTTATACAGTACATATTTTATTTTTATTTTTAGAAACAGTTTAGCAGCGATCATCTCATTCCCAGGGTTTGTTATCATTAATGTATTCATTTATATTATAATAATTTAAAATTATTAATATTATAATAATAATTTTATATCATAATAATGTAAAGCAATTTAATATCATAATAATGTAAAGCAATATGGTTCGTTAATTGCTGAATGATAGAAACGAATCGTCCATTGCTAAAAATACAAAGTATTTGCTTCAAGTCTTATATTATGCTTCATTGGTAACAGGGCCTGCGAGTTTCAAGTCTTGGTAGTTACTAGCGACCCGCCCAGGCTTCGCACGGGTGCAGTGCTAAATGTTTGTTTTCGACATCGCATTAGAAACCTCTAAAATTATCAGTTTATTAGAGAAGCCTCTACTATTGTGCATGAATTATACATACAAACCTTCCTCTTGAATCATTCTATCTAATAATGAAAACCGCATCAAAATCCGTTGCTTAGTTTTAACGATCTAAGCATATATACAGGGAGATTTTTTGAGAAGTGCCCAAATTTACACAGGAGGTTCTTTATTGAAATAAAAAATAAAGTTTTTTTTCCAAAAAAAATGCCATTCTATTCCCTAAAAAAAAGAACGTGTTGACAATGCGGTAGTCATTCATAAATACCTAAATTTTACTGTGCACGAATTTGTGTGCATGTTAGTTATGAATGATTGCGCGTAAAATAAATGAGTTGCCTATAAATGACGCACTTTTTGAGATAAGTTCAAATTAATGTAATTAATTACTTACGAGTGATTTTAAATATTTATCATTTTAATAGAACATTATTTATGTCTATAATTAAAAAAAAAATTGGATACACTTAGAAAATATATGTATATGTAAATATTACGAGTAATAGTTTATTTAGTTAGGATAAAATGTTCCATTAGGTACATTTGAAACGACGGCTAAGGTTTCTTTATTTTTTTTCTAAAATAATTAGTTTAATCCTCGTTATTTATTTCTGGAGCTTAAAATGATGACGTAACTACTAAATTAGTACAGTTTATGGCATAACTTTTGTATTTGATCAACACGAAAAATATTTTTAAAATAAATAGTAAAATTTATTACTTTCATCCTATTGCTATTGTATTGTTTTTATCTGTGCTTCGTGGCGGTCTGTGGGGGAGGCCTATGTTCAGCAGTGGACTCAAACAAGAGGCTGAAATGATGATGGTGATGAAGATTAATTTTATGACTTCTTCTTTTTTCTCCTGTCCTTATCCCACACTAGGTGGAGTGGGCACAAAATGTCCAACATTTATTATTACTTATTTTCGGAAACATGTTGCTATTTCAGTTATTGCCTTTATTTTTATGAACGGCCGCTTGCCTGACGTCAACCCTTGAGAATTTAAGCGAATTTATATTTATCTAACCTAAAGTAATATACAGGTACGAAAATTAATAATATGCACACGCTCAAATCATTTCAAAATGGCAGTTCAAAACAATAATTCAACAAGAAGGATTTTTTGACTCACAGAAAGATTACAGAATTCTTACCTAATCATAATACTTTAATAAAATATTTGCTTTACTAACTTACAGGAACATAATTATAAAATATTTTTGCATTGATATTTAAGAGTTGTCTGCCCTTTTTATTCAGTTCGTAATAATTGACCCACCCGCCGCCAGATGTCGTGGAAAATCTTTGTAACACGTCACAACATGGCGTTCCACGCCGGCGTGACGGTTCCGCGACTCTAGTAAAATGTTTTAATAATAAGAGATTTACTTTGTTATAATTTATCTTTTTTGTACTCACTAACGTGTTATAAAAAGAAGATGATAAGGCGAAACAAATCAGGTATGTTGTCATATTGTTGTGCCGCATATTCAACCCTTCCGCAGAGTATTGATCTAAAAAACTGTAGCTTGAAAATACTTAACTGAAGGGCAGAAATACTGCATTACAGCCTTTTTTTAATGGAGTGCAATTAATATTTGTAAATTATTATTGAGATATTCAGTTGAAACGTGAAATAAAAAATTAAGTGAAACCTAAAAAATGGTGCATTGAAATGGTGCATAAAGTTACCTCACAGCGTTGCTAAGCAACAATATGAATTATTTTCCACGAACATTTTTAAAAAACATTTAAATTATTTTCCACGAGCATTAATTTTAATAATTACAATAAACAAATAGATAATCAAAGATTGGAATGAAATTAACCGTAAAATTTGTAAATTAATTCAACTACGTGGCGAAAATTTTTTTCTGATAAAATGTATATAGCGTGTACGTAACGAGATCCATGTCCTTATCATTAAAATAAATGAATAAAAGAAGATATAGATGATATTAGTGAAAAATACAGGGTGTATTACAAGCAAAAATTTAATTTGTACCTGGGCAGAAATGCTATATAAACGTTAATAAAATCTAGGAAACATATTTACAAATATATTTATGCCCAAGCTTGCTTTACAAATTTGAAACCTATCTTTTCTATATATACCTACATAACATGATAGAGATCTTGTGATATCGTCATTAAATGTAAAGATATTGAAGTTTTTTTAAAAAATGATTTTTATAAACGAATGTATATTCAGTGATATGTGTTTTTTGTCTCTTCTTGACAAGTGAGGAAACTGGTGTAGTTGATTTATTAAGCAACGCTGATGAAGACGCGGGTATCAGCAGCTAGTTTGCTATGAAAATGTAGTCATTTCGAGTATTCTTTCCCTATAAACGTGGCCTTCTAGAATGAAAGTCTCACAAGCAATTCTAACATATATTTGTATACTATTAAAAAAGCACTTTGGAGCACATCTTCTTTCTTACTCTGTAAAACAACTGTTTTACGCTGTTTTCTGATACAAAAGATGGAGGGAGATAAGAAATATCTGTGATTACCTAGCGTCACGCAGCGATCACTGGTGTTTAAATGAGTCGGTTCATCCGGGGTACCACGGTCTTCTAAAATAACCGTAAAGTTAGTCTTAATCATTTTCATATTATCTCGTGATCAAGATTACTGAGCTCACCCTCCTAACGGCAACGTAACTGAAATACGTATTGTGATAATAAAATATCACTAAATCGTATTCCAACTTGAACATTAACTAAATATAAAATTTTCACGATAAATCCATTACAGCAGTTATTAGTTCTGATAGGGGTAAACATACCTATCTTGTTGAAATTTAATTTTAATATGGTCACGTAAAGAATTTGTTCCATTCATTTTATTTAAATGGTTTTAATCTTTCTATTGTTTCAATTTTTGTAAAAAGAAAATATTGAATACTTACACAACATAAATTATGTCTTGGTTATATCTAAATTCGAGAAAACTGAACTGTGGACCTTTATTTAAAGGTGGCAACGCATTGGCAACCCTACGGGTGTTGCAAACGTCCATGGGCGGCGGTCACTCATCATCACTCTCCTCATCACTTTGCGTTAGATTAACCGATATCTCGTTTTCCACTTTCTATTATAAAAAAAACCTGGTTGTGTTTATTAATCTCGCGCCTTGCTAGCAAAGTATTAAAATATTTTTACTTCTTTTTTTCCAGGTGTCACAAACTCCTTTTCCGGATAATGATACAAGAAATAGGTACAAAACATTATTTAACTAATATTTTTCGATATGGATCCAATTTTAGAAAATGAAGCTGCAACTTCAGAGTCCCCGTCATACCATGGAAAAACTAAACAAAAACACAAAAAAAAGAAACATCAGTCAGATGTACAAAAAGAGGGTCAAACTGTGGTTGGTGAGAAAAAGAGATTTGTTGTTACAACGTTGTCTGCATCTGAGGAGAAAGAAAGCTCTTCGCTAAGAGTAGCACATAACAATGTGCATACAATTCATTTTGGTACTCGTGGGGTTGAATCTCAAAGACCCCACGTGCGATCAGTTTTTAAAGAAAAACCTGCCGAAACTTCTAGGCCCTCAAGTTCCGAGAGAGATTCGAGTGATAGAAAAGAATATGAAACTTTCCACGGTACCTCTTCTAGTCCACGAAGTTCTATTTTTGATATTTTCAGATTAAGAAGAAAAAGTGATTCAAAGAAACATCAGTCTATTATACAAAATGTTAAAGGGGCTGCAGCAACTACTTCGAGATCGACTGATACTGATGATTCATCTAAGGAAGAGAAAAATGTAGAAAATAAGGAATCCCACAAAAAATATTACCACACCGTGACAGGTGTATCCTCCCGAAAATTTAGTCCTATTACAAGAGTGATGGACATTTTTAGAAATAAAACACATACGGAACCTAATCATTCTCCAGCAGATACAAACAAAAAGAAAAACACGAAACAGATTCGACGCTCTTCAATAGAAACTACGTCACCAACGTATCATAAAAACTCTTACGCTTCACTTGAGCCTGCACAGGCCAAGCAATTATTTAGAGAAGTTCGAGGATTACCCAAATATGATCCTTATCTGTCTATTGTACAAATATCTATTGGAGGTCGTGATAAGACCAGGCTGTTGTTGAATTTTTTTAAATACCATAAATGTTACGAAATATTGCCTAAATCAGCGAAAGTCATTATTTTTGACACTCAGTTTCCAGTTAGGAAAACATTTCCTACTCTAGTTTCACATGGCATTAGGTCAGCACCACTTTGGGACGCTAATAAGAAATTACTAGTAGGCATGATAACAGTAACTGACTTTATTAGAATTCTTCTTTATCTTGATTCTGAAAACTTATCTATGGAAGATTTGGAAAGACATACACTGCATAGTTGGAAAAAAATTTTGCGACCGACACGAAAACCGTTATGTAGCGCTGGACCCGATCAATCACTACATGAAGCCATAAATTTATTAAATAAAAATCGTGTCCACCGCCTACTAATGATAGATCCATTTTCTGGGGATGTTTTATACATATTATCTCACAAAAGAATATTGAGGTTTTTGTTTGTGTATTTGAATGAATTCCCAGAATTAACATTTTTCCATAAAACTTTGTTAGATTTAAAAATTGGAACTTACGATGAAATATTATCTATTACAGAAAGTACTAGTATTAAAGAAGCCTTCCAATTGTTATTAGAAAAAGATGTTTCAGCATTACCGATTTTAGATAACAATGGTATTCTCATTGACGTGTACGCTAAATACGAAGTTTTGAATCTAGTAAGTGAAAAGTTGTATCTAAATTTGTCACTTACTATTGGTGAAGTAAGAAATAAAAAAAAAGACTGGGAAGAAAAATTACAAAAATGTCGTTCAAGTATTACTCTATACGAGGCCTTAGAATTTATTGTTAGAACCGAAAGTCATCGATTATTGTTAGTAAATAAGGAGAATAAATTAATAGGAATTGTTTCGTTGTCTGACATTTTGCAGTATCTCAATAGAATTATACCGACAGAAAAGAAAGTGTCGTCACTGCAGGAGATATTTAGACCACTCGAGGAAAACAAAGTGCCAGAGTCGGTAAGGGAAAACGACAATGAGGTTATTTCCATAGAAGTGCCAAATTTAATAGTGCAAACCGTACCTGAGGCTGATGAAGCCACGTCGAAATCAAACAGCGCTGCTGATAACACTTCTGTGGATGCGACTATTGCGAACGACGGCGATTTAGATACCGATGTAGAAGACAATAGTAACAATTCGAACACAAATGTTTGCTCACACAGAACTGAGCGAATTGATGTTTCGGTCGATCGTAATAATTGTAATGTAGACCTGCAGAAATAATGCGAAAATGTAGCTGTTTCCTACTATTTATCCCAAAGAAATTGTATAACGTAGCAGATTTAGACTAATTGTAATCTCAAAGAATGCTTACTGCTTGTATTTAATGGTATATAGTTCAACATAATATTACATCATTAATAGTTTCATGTAATACCACGTGATTGCCTTATTCATTATCTATTTAATTCGTAAAATACATATATTGCTGAGACTTAATAAAATATTTTAGCAATTTCTGCGTTTTTGGAATGATTGTTTACTTTTTAATTATAGTAGGAAAACAATTAATGTTAACTAATAAATATCGAAAAAAGAAAGCTAAAATACACGCATAAGCTTAGTAAACTAAAAAAAAAACATGTAAGAAATGTTAGAATAGAATTACGATTTCTTATTTATTTAATTTAGGTAGTTTTAGTTAATATATGTCCCTTAATATTAATAAAACGGGTATTAAATATTGTTTAATTAATTTAAAACAGCAGCGATGTAACGTGAAAAATCTTCTTAAATGTATTTAAGATGATGTCTTACGATGTATCGTCATACAAAATTTATTGTCGACATTCGTCCGATGTCTCGAAACAGGCGCAAGCGGCGTGCTATCGGAACCTGTTAAAATAAACGCGCAAGGACATTCGTGTTAACTTGTGAGAGCTTAAAGTAGTTTTTTTCTTATTTTTTCATACCGGCGTCATATAAAACCATAAAAATAGAGGACAACCCAACTTTGGCGACTACATTTACATTTAAAATAAAACCATACATAAAAATTTTATAACAGTTCGCTGTAAATAGTAATTTTATTTTAACAGTGAGATATTCTTTATGAGAACATGATAAATGCCCAAAATAAGTTAATATTTAAAAAACTTTAACCTTATAGCCAAATTCATGGGTTTTTGATAGTAGTAAATTTGCTTTTTTGATATACATAAATATAGAAAATATCTAAGAAATGTTTAAAAAATCTTTAGACCATGGAACATATACACAATATAACAAAGTGCAGTGAAAAAGACTCGGCGACCGGCTGCTATTGGAAGACCGAACCCGGAATAAACTTTACCTCAAGGCTGCACTGTATCTTTTAGTAGAAAGGAATTATTTTATGTTGTCTCTAGATGCGTCTTACGTCGTAGTAGTAATATTTAAAGTGACACGGTCCAACAATAGTCTAAAGATCACTTGCGTGCAAAAATAAGCGCTTGAATTGAGTACAAACTATAGATTCTATTCAAATTGTCATACGAATCAGTAGCTGCCCACTCGTGTGAAACCGGTAACTCACTTGGCGTTGGTTAAATAAATATGGAAGCTTGTCGCGTGATTATGCGACCAATCTGCCTACACATCGCCGCCGTCCGAGAAACGTAAGTTTGGTGACAGGTTTTGGTATAATTATAATTTTTTAAAGTAGGAACAAAATATTTAATGGTACAGATAAGATCCTGTTTGGTCATAAGTGTATTTATTTATACACATTCATAGAGTTACGGATTAATTAATGCAAACCAACACGCTCTTACATGTTTTCCTCAAAACAAAGAGACGTGTGCCAACCAGTTTTCTCAAGCTTACCAAGTGTATTTGGAAGATTGGAAGTCAATGAATGCTGGTGTCACAGGATCAAGGCTGTGAGCGAGGTCTATGATCCATATTGGACAACTATAGGCTGAAATGATGATAATATAAACTATATGACAAGCCGTGTATTTGTTTTTTGTTGTTCAAATGTAGGACCAGGAAAGAAACGTACAGAAAGTACTATTACGTGTTGCCGCTATTACCCGCTTTAATACAGTTTATCATGTTCTAACATGATGAAAACGGATGTATGTGTTAAGGACAAGTTCAAATGGTCACAATGAATTCTACTGTTTCTACTATTTACGATCAATGGTTTTGTAACATTTAACGGTAGATATAAAAAGAAGATAAATTAAATAACAAGTTCGGTTTTGGGATGCTTTTCCTTAAAGAAGCTATTTGGTAACAGCTTGTTTTCGATGTTTCTTTTTTCGACCGGCTTTAACTTGTGAAAAATGGGCGCGGTATTTATTTACTAATCAAAAGTTGAGTCTATTCTTTCGAGGCTAGAAAAGTTAAGTTTTAGATAATTATTCAATCCTTTTTTAATTTCAGCGACGGATGCACAATCAAAAAAAATTACAAAAAAGTACGTTTAATTATGTGTATCACTTATCTAGTACCCATATCAAAGCCTTCCTTAGTTTATAAGACAAAATAAGTATACTTGTATATTGACGACCCGAAGGGCGTAGTGGGTAGTGTACCTGCCTTCTGTGCCAGAGGGTGTGGGTTCGATCCCCACTACTGGAAAAATATTGTGTGATGAACATAGTGTTTTTCTAGTGTCTGGGTGTTTATATATCTATAATATGTATTTATTTACAAAAGAAAAGTACGTTTAAGTATGTTTATCAGTTATCTAGTAACCATAGTACAAGCTTTGCTTAATTTGGGAAAAAAGATCTAGCTAGGTTTCATTTTTAGAAAATGTCCTTTTATCCCTGTTTTCAGGGAATGAAAAATATCATTCGAATATGACATATATATAAGTGTGTAAATGATCGTGATACGAACCGCGGACGTCTGTTTTGGGGCCGCCCGATTACCGACCGAGCTATTATAATTTTTTTTTTGCGGCGAAATTTTATATATATGTTGTTAGAAGATAGGAGGGTAGTAACACACTGCGACGATCTATAAATGGAGCAGCGCTCGCCGTGTCAAGGGTCGCTGAGGTTCAGGCTAGGCGCCCCGAGCGTCCAGCCACCTCAAGTCCGGCGAAACTGTAAAGGCCCCTAAGGCCAACAGTGGCTCATCAAGCCCAAAAAAAGAAAAAAAACGTGTCAAGGGACTTTCTCATCAGCCGTTGTAGAGTGCGGAAGCTCTACCCGAATTAATAACGATTGTGTCGGTTACTTAGAATTGTAGTGAATCTTCTGTTAAGTTTGGCCTACTGGCCAATAAATTGTTTTTTAAAAAAATCAATAATCGTTTCTATTTCCTAACAATATAATAATTTTAATAAAAGGCAATTAAAACTTAATTATACACATTTAAATATTACGGTAGTGATATTAACCAGGAAAACGTACTAGCGATCTAAAAAAAAATAAAGGAAAAAAATAATAAAACTTTTTTTGCTTATAGTTCGACCACTGTTTTCTGTGTTCAACGAGCATTGTCGTGCTCCAGATTAAAAGCTAATAGAATGCTCTGAAAAGGGAAGTCCATCAGGATTTTGATCAGCGTTGCTAAGTTGTTAAGTTGCCATTAGTGAAAATGAGCTCAGTTCGTCTGTTCGTCATGATTTCCGTCCAAACCGTTACTATTGACCCACTGTAGAGATTTTTTTTCTCACTCACCAGACGAAACGCGAAATTATTTGTTATACTTCCACTTTACACTGGTCTTCTGTGATTTCGTGGCACTTACCCGGACGGGCCTGCCCATTCGTGCAACAGCCTGCTGCGTGGCTCTACCACCGTAAACTTTTTTAACACGGCTTGAAACTACGCCAGTCGAAGTCTTAATCCCAATGATGTTTTAATAAAGATAACGCATGTCCATACTGCGCGGCGTTTAAAATTGTTCCACTCTACGTTGTCATATTTAGGTGAATGTGACAGATAATATAGAACGTATGATGCGAAAAAAGATATCACCCTAAATAACTGAAATTTAATTAGGTACCTCAGTTTTGGTGCGCTAGTGTCATATTTACCTCATATTTGTATATTATATCATTGCTTATATCTATCTCTCGGTTGACTGTCTTAGGTTGGTTATTTTAGTTTGACGCCTTGCAGTGAGTTGCATGAAACGATTATATCGAGCAGTAGAATTTCTCACTAGACCAGGTAGATGTTCTACGGAGTTCCTTTTATTGGTGTAACGGCGCCAGACGGTTAATACACGCCAAAAGCCCGCGCCACCTCCAATTAATTAATTTCAATTTGATTTTGCAGCATTCCCACCGCTTTTCAATGAAATGCAATTCCATGTTAGTTAAAAGCAAAAAATTCAGTCATTACCAATACGAAAAGAAACAACTTAATTTTTTATTTTTGTAAATAGCATTTTTCAAACATAATGTTATAAAATTATTTTAGGAAGTATCACAATATTTTGTCGTATTGCTTAGACTTTTGTTAATGTGTATAGGCTTATCAGCCCTGCTGAACGCATCCTCGCTTCTTGAAATTCAGCCACAATTGCTATCGTACTTATTTTTTTAATTTTTTGTTTCTTTTAAAATAAACATAAGTAATAGTAATATGTACTTAACTATGTACTTTATACAGCGTGTCTTTACAATCGCGACAGTAAATGAACACACATATAGAGGATAACTTTTTTAAATTGTATTAAACATTTACATTCTTTAAACATCAATATTTACAGAGTTATTAAATTTTCCAAAACAAAGAATTTTAGAACAACCTTACGTATAAAACTGTAGCGTAAAGTTCATTTGTAAAGAGGCTTGTAATGCGACGCTGTGGCAACGAATGAAAGTCTCTGAATGTATGAATCAGTCAGTTGTAGTTGTACATGTTACAAATTTTGTTTCTTTTTTACATAATTAGTTTGTTTAAAAAAAATTTAATTATGGATTTTGTTTAAGGTTAATATTTTTTATGATTACTGGCAAGTAGCGTTATACGTGTGTTCATTTATTGTCGCGATGGTAACGACGCGATGTATATGCATTTTTATCGTATACAACATTTAAAGCCTTTTATATAATGAAAATATTTATAGCAAGTATAAATACTTGATCAATAGCGAGCGGGTTATGAATACGCCTGATGGTGGACGCTTATCATCGAAATGCACCATTTATCAAGCTATTCAGGTAGCTGGTTCAGGTAGCTTTTAGGTCCTGCATCTTCCTCTCTGCATGCGATGCACTACTTGAGGGCGTGAAAAACAAACTGTTGTCCGCTTAGAGGGTCCACATCACA